TGTTATGAATCCAAATGGAGTTCCATGAAGGGCAAATCGGAGTGGTTGGATACACGAGTTTGGCCTCTGGAGTTTAGGATCCGTGTGGCATCCCTCCCAAATGTGGTCCTTCAAAAACGGCAGGAATCCGCTCGACACCACGGAGGGAGGGAGTGAATAGGATGCTTTTGACACCTCTTCATATCCACGGCCTACACAACCGCCCACTAAACGTCATTGCGTTTGCGAGAGAAAGTGTTCTTGATAAAGCGAGTGGGGGAGGTTGGCGGTCGACTGTTTTCCAGGTCTTTTTTGGACCGAATTTGTGTAAAACTGTAAACCTAAGTCTGTGAGCATAATGACCCGGAAAAGTGACTTCTTATGACATAAAATGCACTCTACTGCTGCCTCTTCAGAATTCCTGCTGACTTGGATTCTGAGGAGCAGGCGTATAGGACAATCCCCTTGAGGCTAGCAGTGTCTAACCTTGGGAGTACTGAGTTGAGCCGACAATATATATTAAAACAATCGTTCATGAGCGACTTAAAAACGCTAGATTCATCCTCTTCTGAGGATGTTAATGTGATAGTACATAGAGCAAGAGACGAAGCCGCAGGAGGGAGGAAATCGCATAAATTGCCGTAAAATTTATGTTTCTGCCGTTGATTATCATCAAAGCGCAGGTCAGCAATTTCAGCTGAATGTGTGATTTGGAATCAAAAAAGAGAAGAAGGTGGCTGATTCTTGGCTCGCGCTGTGCATTCAATTTCCGATGCAGTACCTAAAGCAAGTATGGAATCGATGAAAAGGTCTGCGTCGATTTTCAGGAGCGCAAATGCGCACGGCACAATATAGCTAATTCCCGACAGTTCGACCACCGCTGTCGACGATGTCCACCGTGGCCTCGACAACAAGGTACAGCAGGCACGGTGACATGCGCGTGAATTAGTTTATAGTGGTTGTAGACTTGCGAGCACCTACCGCGCATTCTCTTCCGCACTCCCCACCTGGACCCAGTGCCAAGGAAGAGTCAAGAAGAGCGCAAGTGGATGGTACGGTCGGTCCCGCACCTTGGCGTTCCACTCCACATCCCCTGGTACACACAACAAATGACCAGGTTTGTGACCAATAACAACAACACTCCAACAGGGGTCAGAAGAAGGAGGATGAATAGGCAGTCGTGCCACCAGCCAGAGGGAGCGCAAGGACATCTACCGGCAGGGAACCAGATGTCAGGGAACTGCCAGCACACACCAGGCTGCGAGGGCCATGGTTTGCGGATACTGACATATAGCACAAGCTTTCAGACCGTTTTAGAATATTCCCAATAATTGAACTACCCACTTTTGTGCGCATTACATCGGAGTTGGACAGGAACGCCGACGTGTGGACTGCAAAATGAGGTTATGTGGGTCTGCCTGTCCTGGTATTGCGGCGCTTGGGCATCTGGATTCCACCCAGTTCTCGCAGGGCGAGCGTGTTGTGCTCTTGCACAGATCAATCCCCCTACCAGTGCCGAGTAATCCAGACTGTTCTGCTTTAGGCACGTTGTGGAAAAATCTTCGTCCCTCAACTATTTAACAATTCTTTCATCGACAACAGTTGGTAAGAGTTACTATAATTTTTGAAAACAAACCGAAGGTTTGTTAATTCTGTTAAAAACCTTCTTTTCCCTCCAGCGACCGAGCATAACGCTCCCAAATTCTATGCGAACTTAGGTTAAAAAGGGAAGGAAATCATAAATGGAATCCTTACAAATATAAAGTCTTCTGATAAGTAATATATTGGGTTTTGAATCTCTTCTACACAACGTGTCGGTGGCTGATAGTGGCAGAAGTGTCAGAATCGGTTTGACACTTTCGGCAAATGGCCTCAGTAAAGTGGCTTTCGCAAAACCTAGTGGTAGAGGGGCGCTCACAGATCGTTCTTACGGAACTCGCTCGCCCCGTTGTGCCTTGCGGGCTCCCTCTTGAGCCCAACCAGCAGCCGCACAGCGGCGCATGATATAGAGGCGTTGGAATTCTAACTGACAGGTCTCGAGTTCGAGCCCCAGGTGTTCCACACTTCGGGGTTGGGTACGACTGGCTGACGACGGCTGCTGAGCCAGAAGTGGCCATTCCAGTCATCCTTGTCTTTATCGGTAATAACATTCTGCAAAATTCATTTTCATCTTCAGACTCCAAGTCATCTGCAAATCGAACAAACCGTGCAGCCGAGTGGAGAGAGTACGGGCTCCGGGCTGGATGCCATACTACCCAGGACTGGGTCAAGAGGGTTAGCTAGAGGAAGTGTAACATGACTAAAGAGGATTATCGCATCAGAGCACCGGGGCCTTTTAGGTAGGGACTCACGGAGAGTCTTCAACCCTGCTGAGGTGGAGTCTACGTGCCATAACCGGTGGCCTCTGCATGAGTAGTCGTCAAATTGAAGGGTTTTTGTGTCCCTGATGCAACAAGGGGGTTGCATACGTGGGTGGAACGAAAGGAGAGAAGTGGGTGGAGTACAACTGTCCGAATTCGCTTAGCGGATGAGTCGGCTTAAGTGCTCACGGTGGCCAATGACCAAAGTGATTTTTCCTTCGGACTTTGACAAAAATGGGCTTGTAAAGTTTTGGTTCGATAATGCATCGTGCGGTTCTTGTTACAATTTAATGAAGGGAGCATACTTCGGTTGTCTACGCAACAGTCTTCCTGGAAAGTCAGAAGATATGATTTAGAGGGATGTTATCGCTAATTGGCAAATCTAACTGGAAGTAGAGCCGCCCGCCGCTCCGTCCACGCCTTCGTTACTTTGAGAGAGAAGGCGCTCGTAACTGACGCTCTACCTGTCCTGCTTTTTAGCGGCGATTAAAACAACAGTTCGAACTGCAAAGGGTGCACTTATAAATCCGTGTTTCGCAAACGGCTAGACTGAATTTTAGGAACTGCCAAGGAGTTAATTTGCATCGACAAAATCTTGAAAAGAAATTTTGGGAAATCTACAACATAAAATCTGCTATTCTTATTCTTCTGACGTTGTCTTGTCGTTGGCTCCTGCTTCTCCGGGTCCTATTACTCTTGATTAAAGTGTTTACAGGTTGCCTGCTTGGATATCAGTCGATTAATGAACCAAAATACCATCGCTTCTGAATACACTCGGGTAGTAAGCCTGCCCTGGCGGCCACTTTTATTGTTCCAATTTAATCAGAAGGCTAGGTTTGTCCGTAATCGGATACGTCTGAGCCAGTCATGAGCGTATCCACATCTCAAGACTCTACATAATTTATGCACTCCGGCCGGCGAATCAACTGCCTGTGGGCATGCCCTCGTCCATATGAAGGGGTCTTTACTATCGGCCACTGGCGCTGGCGGAGGTCACGGGCCTGCTCCATCATCGGCCCCAACTATTTGCGACATAAATGCGGGTAGTGAGTGGCAGCCCTGTTTGGGGGCGCTCAGTTTCTATATCGTTGCTGTACGCGTGAAAACATGCCAATATACTTTTCAGGCCTTTCGTTGTCAGCCCGCCAGATCGCGAGGTAGACCCAGCAACCTGTGTCACCGCTGCCGCCACCAACACTTGTCGTGCGCTAACGGGGGGAGGGGGAGGCTGGACATGGGGCACAAAGGAAGCAGTGGTCCTGGTCGGGGTTGTTATGGTTCTGAACTCTGTGGTTGCCATGGCCGTGGCTGGGCTGACCCCAGAGAGGGTGAGGAGCTGAATAGCTCACCTCCATCCCCCCCCCCCCGAAAGCTCCACTTCAGCCCTGGAGTCTGCTCGTTTGGGCGGCGTTGGGGCGAGGGAGGGGAGGGGGATCCTGGCACATTGCCACTTTTGTGTTCTGCGGGGGTCAGACAGCCTCTGAAATCACTGTTGCGTGGACAATTCACGTCGGATGCACACAGAATTTGCCTAATTGTGACAATTGAAGGAGGTCACTGTGCTCATACCCTAAGCGAACACCGTTTAACGAGGTGATTTTGGGAGCTCAACGACTATGCGGTAGTCGTAGTCCCTTTGAAGACGCAGGAGTCTGGTTTGTATCGAGAGAGACGGTCTACAGGTAATCGTGTTCCATTTAAAAATGTCTGTTGAAAGCTTGACATCAGCAGACACGGTCACTCCGTAGGTCAGTGCTCGAAAACGGCCTAACAAAGATGACCCAGTATCTTCCGAAAAATGTTTTGGTGGTATTTGCACCTCGAGACCCTAGTCCCTTTCTTCAGCCAATCTAAAAACACAAACACCCCCCAACTAACCGTACTTAAAAATTTGGTCTGAGCCTGTAGATATAGAATATATGTACTGATCTACTCCACGTTCGCAGTTAATTTCTGAGGAGATTAAAAAGCCACAATTTCTAAGTTGGGACTGTCTACCAGAAAGCAGAAGGGGGATGCTGGAGGACCCAGTGATGAGCCGAACCCCTCGCAGCTGTGTCATGCAGAGGCAAACTATCTGCGAAAACGCGTGTATGGGCTTTTGACTATTACCTGTGCTGTTAGTATGATATCCCTTTACCCTAAAACAAACGTCACCAAAAGTTGTCATACACGGTCCTTGCTCAATTCCTGAGTGGATTCAAAGGTAGGATTCGCATAACTAAAGTGAAACGGCTTCCGCTGCAGTACAACAGCCAGTTTCACGTCACATGTGTACTATTTGGTCTTTGAGACATGTTTTTGTAATTTGTGTCACTAATTGCCTTCTGTCAGGCGTTTCTCTCTGGGTTAGTTTGCCTGGCCCACTCAGTTCTTTCGTACAAACCATTCGACTTCCGGAAAACACCGCTTTCTTAGGGAGGCCCAAAATGCCCTTTATGCACAAAACGACGGGAGATGTCAACCCTGAGGTTTGACCCTTTTTTGGGTTTCGACAGGCAGATGTGCCGTATAGGAGCCCTTAAGTCGGTTCGCCAACGCAATGCACATTTTATGATGGGCTACCGCATCTAGTATTTCGTTCATCTTAGATGGAAATTATTGTCGGATTTTATTTTCCACTTGCCTGGTCGAAACCGTGATTTAAATAACGCGTCTGCTATGGCGTGCCTTGTTGCCGAGGGCTTCCACCGACGCGTCCAGGGACCCCAAGCCTTTTCCCCGAATCTCGAGCGTTACAACCCTCCGCCACCGCCCCCGGCGCATACCAACAGACATCCGGCACCGATGTCTTCAAACGTCCTTCAGAGAACCTCAAGCCATCAGACAGAAACTACCAATAATGTCACCAACATCGGATCCCTACCCACTGATCGCTTGCCAAATCAACAGGAAAAATTGCTGGAAATCGTCCAGACTCGTGCCATCGTTTCCTTCCGTGATACCACCTTCCGAAGTTCCCTTTCCTTCCTGAAGGATGAAATCATTTGCGTTTTCGTGGATTCGATGACTTCGAGTACGGGTTACACCCCTGCTAGTCGCCCAACCTCCCTCTCCACACTTAAAACCGACAGAGTTCGTGAAGGTTTGTTTTCGATGACATGTAAACACGTCAAACCGTGATATCTTCGGCCATTGCTTTTTGTAGGGCAGATGCTTTGCGGTCAGGTATGTAGATGTAACTCACTCATCCTCGGCCGCAGTTTGTTTACCCAGTTGAGTTGTTCATAGGCGGTCCCTTGCCGACTAGAGACTCCACCAGATATCGTCTGGTAGACACTGGTCAATTAAACGTCACCCATAACATTAACCATAATCGCTCTCACCAACCTAATATGTATTCGGTGAAAGCTGTTTGTAATTTAACACCGACACCGAGGCTGGAGATATCGTTTAACGACCGTGGAGTTGTGACATCAACAAGTCTCACGTCTGTCATGTGTTTGGGGGGGGGGCTTCTAGACGATAAACCCATGGTTATGGAAAGTGTCTGGCCAGACTGCAAGCGCGTCTCCGATAAAGGGCAAATGTCAAAGTCTGCACATACACGGACACACCTGCATTGGGAGATATAAATCTACCCGCCATTCGTTTCAAATATCCATGTTAGTTTCAAACCGACTGCGTCCCCAGATCAGTACTATTGACCGAAATTCTAAAAAATGGCATATAGAGACCCCACAGTAAGTCATTCCATGGTCTATAAAAGATAACTCACGACCCAAAGGTTGGGAAACATCATAGATCATAGCCATTCGCACACAACCGGATTGGTGATAGGCAAAAAGCAAATAGTTCACGCCACCTGTCGGAATGCGTGTGAACTGTGCTTTTCTCATGCTCACGTCTATCATCTCTAAGGCGCTTCGTTTACGACTGAGGGCAGTGGCTGTACGGCGTACTCACGCAGTTGGAGATCTGGTCTACTGCGATGGCCCACCCGCCGTTGTCCCGATACACGCAGGTCGCGTACATGCTAGTTAACCCGCCTATGCGAAACCTCACAATTGGTTCTTTCTCAAGAAACACATTTCAGGCCCCGGCCTGTGACCTCGAAGTCGAAGTTAACCTTGTCATTTGTAAGCCCTCCAAGTTGCAGTTTCTAACATGTCAGTTATGCTAGAGCGCAAATAGTAGCATCAAATCATCTTCCTCACAGGCTCTGGTGGCTGGTTGCAACGGTCAAGCTATTATGCCTGGATGTAGCTTCTACCTTACTCCATTGAAAAAAAGGAGAAGACGCGATGATAACCAAAACCCGGTTTTGTCTGCAGGAATTGCTGAATGAATTTTAAAGTCAGAAGAAACGGAGCCGCCTGTTGGATTCCTCAACCGGGTCTGGGAATTTAGGATGCTGCAGAGTTGTGGAAGGTGATAGTGTGATGTGATGGGGTTGAGGATATTAGCATTGCTGTTTGCAGTGCCCGTTTTCTGAGGTAAAGAAGTTTCTGATGTAGGGCAAATTTTATCTGACCACATGACAGGAATTAATCTCTCTTCCCAAACAGCTTATAGAACATATCTTTCAGAGGATGTCAGCAAGCAGGTCCACGAAATTCATGTCTGGCAAGTTGCTAAAAGTTAAAAGAATCGAATTGAAGTTGCGCCAAATGCAATCATCTAGCGTCAAGAAAAGGGTTTGTTTAAATTATCAGGATACTTTAAAAACTAGCACAATGGCCGTAATTTTATCATCGCTATTCTTAGCGCCCCCACTACTAAATTGAAAAGCAGGCATCCCAAGAGGTATAATTAGGAAGATGGAATTCTTTGGGAAATAGTAATCTTTATTGTGTAGATTTTCGAGACTAGTTCCGCAGCTCGTCTTCGGAAAACGGGCGTGCCAACATTCCAGTATTAACTGCATTTCTTTCATTTATTACCGATTGCATGTAACATATTTTCTATATATAAAGTTGAATCCTATCAATTTGTAGGCATTTGGACGCTCCGGCATTTGTCTCACTCTCACAGTCAGCTGCCGTTTTACCTAGGTTTAATCTTACGAAGTCATCACCACTATTATCACATCAGCTAGGCGAGGGTGACCAAGCGAGACAGTGAGACCGGTGCAAAGGTCCAAACTCGCGAGGTAACCAAAACGTTTCTGCGGTTTTGTGAAAGGAAAATCAAATGAGACCAGGAAATCCTAGAAACGGCCTTGTTTACTAAAATAATTACCTTCACAATTTCGAACCCTTCCCAAATTACATTTTTGTAGGACGATGTGTCTTAACCTACAAAGCATCTGTCAAAATCTGCCCCAGACTCTCCCTTATTTGAAAATTTATATTTCTCTGAGTTTATCTACTGCCTAGAAGGGGTGAAATTCAGTTGGAAAACGTCGAAATAATAAAGCGGTTATGTGGATTTCCTCGGATATGTATTGCAATATGAGGTCACACAGTATCACGCAAAAATATCATTTATTTCTGAAATAACGTATGTTTTGTACCTTCCAATTGCATGAGCATATCCCAGGTGCAGTCTGTAGGTCTTTTTCGAGAAATTCGTAATGGACAATACTGGTGACGTTTAACCCTACACAAATCGTTATCTTATGTGGTGGAACGGCGTTTTTGCTGCAGTTGTTGCTGAATCATTTAATAACAGTCACTGAGAGGTCTGCTTGTTGTCACAACAGGATTAACCTTTGCCGGGAGTAAAGAAGAAATGGGACATGTCTCGTGAAGGAAGAGAAGGAATAATTTTTATTTTGCATTCGTCAACTTATGCATACGACATCCGCTTATTCCACTTTCGGGATTTTCCCAATAAATGTAAGTGCCATCGTATCCGCTTCAAATATTCTGGAAAGCCACTCTGAATTAATGAACAAAGGCTCGTCCATGTCGTCGTTCAAACTCGAAGCCCGGAATTCTATTTCACTCTTAGTGTGAAAGCCGACAAGTCGGCGTAATTCCGCGAACGCCTCTCCAAGGACTGCTTGACTTTCGACTTACCGATAGTCAAAGTGATTCGATGTTTAGAATATCGTCTAAGTTCCTGAAATAGAACTAACCTTAGTGCGGGCACTTCTCTTGCAAGGACAGGAAACATGTCAAAGATGTTGAAGAACCTGTTTGAATGGAAAATTTGAATAATTAGGGGTGCTTGAGAGTAGAATGTACTGCCTTCGAAAGTCTTCAAAATATGTGAGTAACGGGGCCTAATTAAAAGTACCTCGGGACAGATACAAAGATGTAAACCCGAAAAATGTCGATCAGTTGTTGTGACTTATTTTGCTGAAAGGTTGCCCAGTAGAGCACGGTTATACTTGTCCCTGCGATGCAGGAGGTCTTATGCTAAATTCCAATGGGGTTAACATTAGGAGGGTTGGAATGATTTGCGTTAGGGTTAAGGAGGTTCGTGTTGGTGTTGGCTATGACACGGTAATTGGTAGCCCCTGAAGTTTGATGAAAGGTCAACTGTAGTATAGGGAAATGCATATATCCGTGTCCAAACGCCTGCACTGTTATGTCAACATCGAGTTCGCCTTGTCACATAATAACTTCTATATGTTACCTCCCTGTTAGTTCTAATTTAATATCCCTATGTCCTTGTTTATCAACCTAAAAGGATGAACTATTTCATCCGAAGGGGCTAAAAATATACTCCCTGTAACAAGACGATGAAAAATGAACTGCATTCGATCTCTTGTCCATCAAACAGGACAAGGACTGCCACTTTATTAGATGAGCAGTGCTAACCCCGACATTCCAAGTGCCAGACCGCTTTAAGAAGTTGAAGCAGGAAATACAAGTAGGAAGCGTTTATTCCACATAAAATACTCAAGTACATCGACAGGCTGACAGACTAAGTCATCTAGCCACAGTCGGGAGTGATTTATGAAATCATGAAAGCAAAGGTGAGAATCAGCGACGCATAATCGTTTACCAATAGCAGTAATTGGAGCAGTGGCTGACTAGCTATACTCCTCCTACCCCCAACTCTTGTGCACACTGCACGATCCGGAAGTCACGCAATGACCTATGATATCGCTCGGAGTGTTTATGGGGTCATGTCAAGTTGGGGTCGTCGCAACTCGGCTGGTGCCCCAGGGACCACGCCATTTTGCCATGTAGTTATCACTTAACCACGACTTCAGACGCCTCGGGTGGATTATAAGGAGGACAACTGGAGCGCAATCGTCCTCGCTTTTTGGAAAGTCCGTGTCACGTACTACCTGGTTTTCCGATCGGAAGACTCAGATGCGCACGGCCCGAAGCACTTCCGACAACGGCAGACGGAGCGTGGGTCCATTGCTGAACTAGCGGAACAGTTAACCCAAAGACCGACTGGAATTAGACTTAAATTTCAGGTCTGGCTGTCTTGAGGTTGAGAGATGCTAGTCCGAGGACATCAAACATGCCGAAAATGGCCACTCCAGCCTCCACTGCCTTGCCGGCAATACTTCTTGATTTTGGATTTTCCGACACGATGCAACCGCATCTGGGGTCTGCCGGCTGGAGTGCGAAGCCAAGGGGCGAGTCCGCCTTCGTTCTACAATCAGGAGCATCTCGGAAGGTGCTCCCACTGAACACTAAAGCATTGTTTCGACTGGAAGCTCAGAAAGGAAAAACCCACAACAACGCTGCCGCAACAGGACACTTCAAAGAAGATCACCAGCCAATCTTATAAATTCGCTCATATCATATTGCTACAATCAAAAGTTCAGGTGAAACTAAGAGATCCGGATTCAAAAGGTCATATGAGTGACGGCCACTGTTGGTCAGAGGTCGGGGTCGTATTTGCCCTGATACGGGCAGCAGAGAAAGACGGTGTCGGCATGAAAAGCGTCTGCATAAGAGTAAGCCTGTAGCGAACGGAAGGTACAAAATGCTGGCAAAAAATACGTACGCTGGTGGTGCGTCCTCTGACGTTGCGACCGAAAGCAACAGTGACTCGCCCACTGAGGACCTGTGGGTAAGAAGTGAACAGGCCGGTTTACGGCATTTCAATGAGGCAATAAAATGCTGTTAGCGAACAAAGACGAACATCCCATCGACTGTGCAGGCGACACTGGGTGGCGCCGCTTGCGTCTCGCTCTGCCGTAGGTATTAACCGGTCAGCTATGGCACAGGCTAACCTGACGTAAATGTAGTAGTTCTCATGAATAGTTCCCACGAGCCCTACTTAGGAAAAGCAGTAACTAAAACCGGTCGGTGAATAAAACTGATGTTCAAAACGTCAAATAACTTGGCAGCGGAGCACGCCAGCGGAGCGAGGGTTTCCCACATAGTTGCGTACGTCACGTTAAAACAATCAATGCAGTAAAAGAAGGCGTGACGAGATTGCCAAAGGGGAATTAGTCTGGTACCTCGGCACAAGTCCACAGTGCTTTTAATGTGGACACTATCCGCATTCTCGGCGGAATAATCTTATATTCAGTCTCGGCTGCAGAGATTATCGACTTTGATCTCCTGTTTTGAAGGATCTCGCCTCCTTGACGATGGAAAAACAAATACGCAGAGGAAATAAACTATTCCTTTTATTTATACCATGGTTATATCCAGCCGATACACGCTAATAAAAACCACAGTGAATGTTGCTGCCTCCGCAGTACACGCTTGGGACCCAAAAATTTTAAAATTGACGACGGCTTTGCATTCAGTTATTTTCAAAACAGCCTTTGAAACACGTCTCAATTAAAAGCAAACCGAGGAATATGCGAAAGGAGGGGTTAAAGTCGCAGTATCTGGAAGGGACGATCGGATTGTGAAAGTCCACTGGTGGCGGCGATGTGAACGCATGAAATCATTTTCGCGCAGGTCAGTCTGACATTTGTGTTCCGTAACAAACTCTCCGAACTGATTTTCTGGCGACGTTGGATTCAACTGCTACTAATCGAATATGCAGACGACGGTCTGAGTGCAATCCCACCGCAAGCGCATTCTCTACGCTCTTCTCAGAACCGCTAAGACATTCCCCACCCGGTGGTCGACCGACGGTTCTCCAACATCTTAATTCGCTTGGTGCAGGGCATGCACAGGAGGTTTTAACCCAAATTGGGGCTACTGGTTGCATCCTTGACACCATAATACATAGCCGCTGCAAAGAAGATGCTTGAAACTGCTTCATAGATGATTTTCAAACCAAATGTAAAGGGCGTGTAAGAGCACCATTTCAGAAAAACGGTGTCCATATCCACAGCGGTCAGCTCGTGATGGAACTACCTGTCTTATTTGTTTGCAGTTTAACAAGAGCTTCAGTCATCGAATGACGAATGGGGAGCCCTCACAAAAGTCTGGCCGGAAGAGCGGTCACCGGCTCCACCCAGTGGTATCACAGCGGTGTTGTATAAGTTAGGCTTTTGACGCGCAGTGTTGTGTAGTGCTTACGATTACTGATAAGGGGTTTGTCCGTGCCTAGTTAGTGCCCTCCTACATGCAAACATCAGCTTACCCTTCTTCAAATTTTCACGTCATCTGCTTAATTTTGTTCAGCCCAGTTTTGGCAGAGGTTACCTTTCCGTCACCTGTAATTTTACGATTTGTCCCACTGCGAAATACATTTCGATGCACAAAAATAAGCAGCTGATTTCTGACGTTGAACGTCAGAAGGCAGCGCTTAATGGAAGTGCTGCACTGACGGAATGTAACTTACAGTTTCAGTCCGGACGCATTAACGGCCTCCATCAGGTCCACGAATGTTAGGCTGTATTTGGGCAGGAAAGAGTATACGAAAAAATAATGTCAAAATAATCATAAACTAGCTCCCACTCCATTAATAAGTAGCGTTCCATAAAGTCGTTATTGACGATAATTTATCAGCAATGCTCAGGGTATCAGCCTAGGCGATTGCATCCAAGCAGTGCAGTAACAGCTTCTGGAAACATGTGAGTGTCCAGAAAGTGTTGAACTGACGCTGACAGGGCTCTCCGGGGAAGTGAGCTCCTTCCGATTTGGAAATCGTTGAGAATGTTAAGCTGGCAATGTACAGTTTCTGGGAAAGGAGCGAGCGAGACTTGAATAAACAAATCAGGCGTTCTTGTCGTTTTCATCAAACTATACCTCAAAACCAGGTTGGGGAAACCTGATGACTGAACCCGAAGAAGTTTTTAGGCGCCTATTTGCCACGGGCCCATTCATTGTTGGCAGCCACCACACGCATGCGACTTGCAGTATTACCTACAGCAACTGGTCAACGTGGGTGTGTGGTTCGGCGGTAGAGTACATAACTTCGAACCAGCTTATCCGTGGCCGACTGGTAGCGGCAGACAAACAAATGGTCAGTTCATTCACGTCCCTCGATTAGTCATTGCTCATCGCTATACAACAGCATGTGCGAGCATAGCTTTGGGTCACTGAATCAGGACGGAATACCCCTATCTTGTCCCCAAGATCGGATCATGTCGGCCAGTATTGCTAAAAGATGTTCATATGTGCTTTTAACTGAGAGCATACTCTTCTTCTGCTGCCTCTTTTCTGCAATTTGTGCGAAAATGCCCTTTTAATGAATTTTAAAATGTTTTGTCCCGGCATAAAATACAGTAATTGAAATATGAAAAACTGAAATAAAATGGTCGTCGAAAAAAAAGTCGGCAGACGTGATGTTTCCAGATATCCTCTTGATGTTGGTTTTGAAGTAAGCCGAGTTACACAAGAGCGTGTCTTTTTGAAGTGTCGGTGGAATTGTTTAGACTGCCTCTTCGAACGTTCTCTTTTGATTCTATTTGCTTCCCTTTATGTAACGGAATACAAGGGTTCGACTGTAGGCCACTATGATAAGGCAGAATATCCACATTTTGTCGGATAACCAAGTCAGCTAGCTGAACGCTCCTTTCTCATGACGTTACGTGTCGTTCAACTACGGTATAACCTCGTCGTGATGAACTCTTTTCTGTCATTTTCGTAATACCCAATATTTTGGAGTATTTTAAAATGGTCAGTACGTCCTGATCAATATTAAATGGTCTGGTTTAAAATTAGTATACAACGGAATAAATACAACAAAGTAGGATAATTTATCGTCAGGAAAATATGCCGACTACAGTGACGTTTCCGGACCTTCTTTCGACATTTTCCTGTGGCAACACCCAGCTTCACAAGAGTGGGCCTGCTGTCAGTAGGACGATTCATATTCTCCCCTAATGGGTTGATGGAATCCTCTAGACCGTTCAGAAACTTCAGAGCCAAAGATAGTATCCTTTAGAATTTACCGTTTTTGCCGGTTCGATAAAATTGCAAAATCGAATCAAATTCATCGCAATTTTTGAAAATTTTTCCTTTTTATCGACGATAACGTCTTTTCGTTTCATACCTCACTCGGATTTTAAAACGAATTTGGTGTACCATCGTTCTCTATACTTGTAACGGATGCGAAACTCTAACATTTGAGGAAGTTCTGATCGTAGTATTTCTATTGGGAATATTGAACCCCACGACAGCACGCGAAAGAATTAACTGCCTGCTTAGGAAATTACTGTAGTTACCCCCGCCTTCGTAGTTGCGCATGAGGGAGGGGGGGGAGAAGAAGAATGAAAAATACGTACCCGCCGCCACTTCCAATGCCTTCGCTAGTAACTGCGGCTCGCAATGCAACGTAAACCCTACAAAAGGCAAAGTGGCTCAGTATGAGTCGACTGAAAGCAAAGTTTGAAACAGTTTTAGCAAAGGAATCAGACCACTGCGTAGGGCTGCATGCTTGCCGCACTATGAACGACCCAGTTGAACAAAAGTTTCCTTTGTCCTTTCTATCCGCAGGCGCATAAGCATACGCTGTTGGCATACATCTGATCAGCGTTAACTGTGCTAGTATTTAGTTTCGACTACAGAAAGGCAGTGGTGGTTTGGCAGCGTACCTGAGAGGACTAAACCGTCTTCACAGTTGCGCATGTGCTGAAGATCGCGGTCAATGTAACTATCACGGAGCTGGTTTGCCCAGCACCCTGAGGACTGGGAGGTCCAGTTCACGGAACTATGGACTGACGAAGAGGTGTGTTCAGTCATGTCTCATTAGGAACCAGCATGTGTAGTTTTCGATAAGTGACGGGTTGGCCGCTGCGGGTAACGAAAGGTATCGTGTGATGTGCCATTCGCAACTTCATCCAGCAAGCTCTCCAGTAAGGTGGAATAAATGTCTGCAGGAAGAGGCCCCCCTAAAACAGCCTCCCCCCAAATCCAAACACGCCGGTGGTCTCTAGGACGCAAAGGTCGACAGATGTGACAACAGCTCATTTAATAGGAGCTCGGTAGAACCCTCCTCTTGGCAAGCCTGTCAGACGCGATGGAACGAGGTCTAAAATTATTTATCTTAGGTGTAAACAAAAAGCAGTGTTTCCGTTAAAGCAAACTACTATAGATATTCATTTTCAATATCCAAATTACTGCCTGTTTCTCATACGAATCAAGGAAAATGACGGCACTGTATGCGGTCCAGCAATGAGTACAGTATGTGGGCTAACTCATGAAATGCTAACCGAAATTCCGAAATGCGTTTTCGTTTCGAAAAGATTAGTTAAGTAAGGTTGTAAAACTAATCATTATGCAGCATAATTCTATAATAATTTAGTTTCCTCTGGATGCCGGCTTTCGAACGAACTTCTTTCGGGTGCATGCAATAACTATGCTCCGTGAGAGAAGAATACTTATGTTGCATGTATTTTTCTCATTGATTTTCGATGCCCTTAAAAATTCAATTATAAGTCGGGGAAGCATGCACAAAATATTCATTCTTTTGCTCACTCGGGGAAAAATTGCGTCTTCGTCCAATTTTACACTTGAAGGAAGGGTATAATTTGGCTTTAAAAAAGTCCCTAATTGTGAGATTTTTTCATACCATGAAATGGTTGTTCATAAAACGTCATGTCTCTGCATTTACCAATGTAGATTTTAATGTTAACATTATGGTTCAAATCCACTGCCAAATTTTATGAACCCCATGTAGTCTCCTCTTAATACCGTAGAAAAATGAATGGTTGTCCGTATGCGGAAAATTTACGCCTTGTAGTTTGGAAATCCTGAATGTAAGCGTAACGACAGGTCGGGATTAAAAATTATTAGGGAATTGGAAAAGTTTTTGAAAACCGATTTATCCCCTTTCTTTGAGTATAAAATTGGATGAAGACGCAATTTTTCCCCGAGTGAGCAAAAGAATGAATATTTTGTGCATGCTTCCCCGACTTATAATTGAATTTTTAAGGGCATCGAAAATCAATGAGAAAAATACATGCAACATAAGTATTCTTCTCTCACAGAGCATAGTTATTGCATGCACCCGAAAGAAGTTCGTTCGAAAGCCGGCATCCAGAGGAAACTAAATTATTATAGAATTATGCTGCATAATGATTAGTTTTACAACCCTACCTAACTAATCTTTTCGAAACGAAAACGCATTTCGGAATTTCGGTTAGCATTTCATGAGTTAGCCCACCTACTGTGGTTAAGAGCAGACGCACCTAAATAGGACCTAGTAATGCTACTTCAATTGCTTTTGCAGGGACACCCAGGGCCCCAATAACGTACGCAACAGAATGCCGGCCAAATGCTTTGTATTTTACTCAGAAGCATTGACTGAGCCTTACTATTCCGGCAGAAAAATCATGCACAAAAATAAAGGTAAATTAGGGCTTACAGTTTGTCACCGGGAAGGGGTAGGCCACTTTGATTAAATAGGTATTTCAGTTGTCGGAATCTGCCATGTGAGAAAGAATCACACTTTACTGACTGACAAACAAGGCATTTTGGACTGGAATTGGCTCAATTCAAATGCATGTGTACAGAATTAGCAGAAGATTTGCAGTGAGGCGACTACGTTTTCACAGATGCTACGTAGTGTACATAACATTTTATCTAACGGTATTTAGATTTTTACCTAATAGAGTTGCGAATGTTTCAACCTAACTTCTCAAAATATACACAGCGAATTAGCGTTTCGGTTGAGTTCTAGGTCAGAGCTCTATCCAGAGTGTATTTCAGAGTAACAGCAGAGGTCTGTGATTGTTTGACGTACATTCCTAAACATAATATGGTTTCGGTCCCCTCCGCCTGTTTCCATTAGTCTGATCTTCCATTCAAAATGAAGATCATGAAGGCAGTATTGAATGCCTCTAACATGTGGTGACGTTTGGCATGTACGCCATATACGTTCAGTACATCTCTTATCAAATGATTTTAAAGTGTCCTCATTTCATGAAATATTCTCCCCGTCCGATCCAACTTTGCCATGAAACCGTTATCATGCCGTTAGAAACTGTGTTAGTCTTTCATTGGTCGGCGTGAAAATGATATTCTTGTAACTGTGAACGTCAAAATATTTATACGTTTAGTCAACAACCTACATCTTTCGGGTGTCTGCCAACTCCAAGGCCTGAAGAATGATATCGTTTCCCAAGTTCTTCCTAGAATAAATAATGAGTTGAACATCAAAAACGGTCTGTCTGATAAGACTTCCCTGTAAGCCGAGTTCTTGTATCTTTTGAGGTAGTTAGGGAAAATCAGAAGACGACCGCGTTTACCTAACTTATTGTGAGTAAGGAATCAGGTCCATAGGCTATGTCCTGAATCCGCCCTCGAATAGAGTTCAGATGAACCAGTGCCCACCACTCACCCAAACCTCGGTTGTACAACTTTAGCATCTACTGGCATGGCAGGATGAGTCGTCCGATCCGGCTGGCTGGACTATGACGTTCAATAATCGGCTGTGGGTTAGCTAAAAGCTCTTTTTTCATCGGGTGCCACACTATGCGGACAAAGCAAAACACATGTTTACTTCGTCTTTTAGTTGCATTTCTTTGATCGAACGTGCCGGTGGAGTTCTTGAACAGTACACACCAGTGCTGTGAATAGAGAGAAAACTATGATATGTACACTTTTCAAATTGCACAGCTGTGCAAACATCTTACCCTCAAGTTGTTGGACGTATCCTAAACAAGGTATTTTTATAAAATTCAAGGATATGCCTTGTGGCCTGTTAAACGCGTCAGAAAGAACCCGCCTTTCTCATAAATTAATTAATAAGTCGGCGAGGACTCACTTATCCTATTTCAAATCGAATTGCATCTTCCAGGAATTTGACCACACGGGAATGACTAAAACTTCGAGGTAAACTAGGAGACCTCTCCCCCAAGTTGCCATTTTCAGTCTCCAGTAAGGGCACCAACTTAGGCTTGAGAGCTCTAAAGTGCGCGAAAATGCTACCACGTGGAGCTCGTGTAAGTTGGCTCGCAGCGTTAGTGCTACTCGATCCTCTGACGAAACTAGGCTGTGGGAAGTCAGCTAAGGAGCCCTGGACGGGGCGTCAAGTTTCGTGCACATACAGTTCACAGTAAACTCTGTGTACAGAGACTGCAAATATTGTCCTATTTACTATTTTTCCTTTTCGATGCCCCACAGTGGTTGAAATGGAAGGATGGAATTAGTGAAGGGAAACCGCTCAGTAGACATCCTACTGCAAATGAATCCTCAAAAAGCGTTACCGACAATGGAAAGAGTGACTTAATTGTCTCCCAAGCGACGATTACTTGCATTATCAAATTGGGAGTGTGGTCAGATTAGAAGAGGGACATGTGAAATTCTTCCCAAAATGAAGCGCCCATGTCATGCATCCAAGATTTGTCATCTGCTCAAAATTTTAAAAAATAGGCATTGAAGCTTTACACTACATTTCATGCATGTTTCGTCCTTTTTGCATATCTAAATTTAAATAGGACTAAAATGCGACCTTCTCAATGCTCTTTGCGGAGAGTTGTGTCTCCTTGAAAATGTCTACGGAATCAATTGACAATTGGGGAGTTCGTGAAAGTCGCACTTTGGTACGAACATACTCGACAGTCTCCAGGCCTCTTGGCGCTGATTATCAGATAGGACATAATTGATAAAATCTACCGTAAACTTAGGCCCGTGTCACATCAAACGCCGAAATGACTCTCAGAACCTTTAATAAAACGAAGTGTTTTTTTAAATAACCATCTAGAATGTGCGACTCTGAAGATAGCTTGAGCCATTACTTCTGACCAAATAGGTGCTAAAACGATGTGGGGCAATAGAAGACGCCAAAGAAAGTCGCCTGAACTGAGACCTCGCAGACCATAGCGGTCCTCGTCCTTGACGTCCGACAAACATTAGAGTGCAAATGCAGAATTGGGTAGATGGCATATCCGGTAATTTTGGATATATTATTCTACAAGAAGATATTTCTAGCAGGATGAGCGGATGTTCCAACAGTAGTTGCTTATATTGACAATGCAAGTAATTATGGGTGTGTTTTAAAAAGCTGCATCATCGGACCTCGTAATTCTCTTAATGAAAACGAGTATGCGGGCAAATAAACCCGCACAATAGTGTATGCACTTGCAATTACACCTAGACAATTTATTAAACTGGGCGCATTCAAAAAGGCCGCCAAAATGCCCCTAGCAAGATCAAGATTCAGGCGGAGACCTATTGTCGGTCAACTCTTCAAATTATTTATCAGGCGTACATTTTGGTTGCATCAATTACTGATAGCTGATTAGGTACTGTGCTGCAAATGTTCGCTTCTAATTGCGATTTTCTGATGAGCAGCAAAATACAAGTATTCGGCTTTCAAATATTTGCCTCCTCCTCCTCCTCAATCTGAGATAAACCTGGCATGACAGGGTGTAGAAGGGAGTAAACAAAAAGCGGTATGCGAAGGCCTGTTATTTAATAGCTTGTGGACCCCAGAAAGATCAGAGACGTTTCAACGCCAAACGTTGCTTTGTCTGCTGCTAATAACTACCTGAGGGGGGAACTAAATAGCATTTTGCTGAAAATTTCTGACTTTTATCAGCATAAATGTAGACTAACAATTTTTCGATGGTGCCGTCTGTCAAAGGCAAGCTGATCCCTGTAGATGATCTAAAATAGGAGGAAGACGAGCGCGCGGTTAGGAGATGAGGCGTGAGAAATAGCTGTACTGGATAAAAAACATAATTTCAGATAGGAATTGATCCCTTAAAGTCCGACATGTACTTGAAAAATCTTATAGCTTACCGGTTAGGTTAAATAAACAAGTCAGGTCCTTCACCATTGTCTGCATTAAGTTATGAGTACACATATTTGAACTATCTCAAACCAGTGTCTCGAAAAACATCAGTTCTACTGCCAGTGGATGTGTTTGAAAATATGCACAGAAGAGTGCGGGAACGACAAGAAGGAAGAAGAAATGACAACTTGGATTTGTCTAGCTTTTTCAGCCAACCAACCGCGATTGCTTCAGACTACCACCTGTCTATGCATCCTTACTTACTCTGCCAGGACATGACCGTGTACATCGACGATTGACTCGCTAGTTTCTGATTCAACTCAATACGCCCAGCTGCGGTCATCAGTTATTGCGGTTAGAATATGGAATGGGTGATGGTCTCAGATAAGTCATTAGCGGTCACTAACTGACGCACCAAGTATCTTTACGAGGTACTGTCGCCCACTTTGCACCTATTCGCTAAGCCACTACCGACAAAGACAAAGGAGACGCGAATTCCCATTTATAAGATGATCTCTGCCGTAGTTCACTATCTTCATACCTTTTAACCAATTGATTACCCGTCGACGCACGATCATCTTCGAGTTCTCTAGATAGGAGTTACAAAGTGCCGTCCTACACACAGACCGCTGAAGTTACATATCCACATAACTTTCCTACTATTTAATCCTCAGTAGGTGGTAAGGGAATCCCTGTTCTTCGTTTCTCGTCCTCTTTTCCGCTGGAGAGCCCGCAGAGTGTAACGCGTGAATACAAAAGGAAGGCAACCGTATTCTCTTCCTCAGTTTATGAATAGTGCTATGTGCATGTAGGCATTGCGCACATGTTCACTGACATTTTTGGTACGCCTGTCTTCGTCTTCCAATAATCAACCCGGATATCTCAACTTTGCCAATCTGAATTTTACTTCCCATGTGGCAAATAGTAATAACCACTCAACTGGCAATATAGAAAACAAGAAAAAGCCTCTGACACGTATTTGGGTACAAGTGATATGAATAATATTCTCTTAATTTGGACACAAGACCACAACGGATAAGACTAAGAAGAGTAGTATTTATGAAATTCCAAAGTGTGGGACTCCTCAAGTATGATATTTTCCCTTAAGACTGCGGCTTGCGATGACCGCCAACAGAAAATTCGGAGCGTTCGAGTTTGTCCATAATGCACATGTATATTTCTGTTATAAGTTGTTAACGCTCTTGAAATGGTGTCCAAATCTTCAAAGATCATTGCGTCAAGTTTCCGTCAATCAAATACAGCGGAGGGTGTCTACTAGCAAGGCGTGAACTCAACAGACCGCTGGAACTGGATTCTTCTTCCCTTAGAAGTGACTATGGCACTGAGTTCCAGCAAACATTATTATTGCATGTGAGGTAGATAGCAGAAATACCGGTAAGGTGTTGTCGACTTCGAACAGCGTACAATAGTTGTCCACATTATGGGCAGGCCAACGTTTATGGATTTTCAGTCTTAAAGATGGATGGTCCAGCTCGACTGAAGCATAATTTCCTCGTCCAGACTCCCCGTTTCGACCCGAAAAATTCCTAGCAATACTGCTTATTAACAAATATGCCCATATCTGCGGTCTGGGCGCCCCATGTATTTCTGCCTAATGTTCATTCGCCAACGTAATTTCAACTAGTTGAGATGCATGACTTTGGATTTGATAGTTCGTGAATGTAACAGAGTTTGAAAATAAGATTATCATACACACCCGTCGCATCACCTAAAAGACCCCTTAATAACAAAACCAAATATCGTCTTTAATCAGGCGTGGATTGCATGTAACATCCACAGAAACTAAAAAATATTTTATACTCGTCCGAAGCCTCTCGGGCATTGCCCAATTATACATGCACATCCTAGGTCTTCCAAGGGCGATGAGCTGTGGACCACCATAAATCTGGAGTTTTGGGCTTCATAAATATTGGCATCGCCTGCCATCAGAATGGCTGGCCCAATCCCACTTCTCAAAAACTATAGGACAATGTAAACTGCTGCAGAAACTTTTTGTATCATCTGCGTTAAACAAATTCCAGTCGGCGAATCCGGTTCCAGACTCTGGCGCAACCGTTATAAAATGTCCTGCAGATATTTCGAACTACAGTAGGCCAACCTAATTTGCCGCCCAATTACTTTACATAAAATTTCGTTGCCTTAATAATTTTCTCCAGGATCAGTTGTTCGTCCGACCACATAACGTACACACAGATACCTTGGCTGGCCTAGTGACATAAAGACATGGAATGTTTGGTTTAACGCAGACATTTAACTGTATTTGCTAGCGATTGCTCGCAATCACCTACTTAAAATTTTGGATTAAATAAAAGCTTGTCGTTGCAGCCAGGTTGCTTTGACGCGTTTGGCATTTGAAGACCCCATGGAAATGCCGTTTTTTGTTTCGGTGACGAGATAGCATTAAACATGTTCATGGATCCTGCCCAGCCGTTTAATGGAACATAACAGAATTAAAAATGGTTTATAAACCACCCAATGTGTTACGCGATTTCTCCCGGCCTTCCGACTTTTACAATTTGCATGAATAAACGGAAACCCCAGCCTCCCTTTACCTTGTAGAGCTCCGCAATCGGAAGATTCAATCGGACAAAATTATTTTTTTTTGATGTTACATCATTGTTTAGATCCAGCACCTCGAATTTGACACGCGAAGTCTTACGCAAGAAACCTGAAGAGGCGTACGCGGAACTCTCAGCGCGTTAAAATCTGAGCTTCTCACGAGACAGTTCGAAGGCTGACATACACCTCACCTCACCTTACCTCACCTTTGGTCCCCAGTCTCCGGTTTAACGACAGAACTGGTACTACCAGAGCTAGAAGAGACTGATTTCATCCAAAAGAAATCGGTTTGTTGACACCGTTACGTTCAAGACGCATTTTTATATCATCAGGAGGAACATACTGCAGAAGTTTCATAACCTGCCCAACTCAATCTTCCCGGATATAAAGTCTGTGGAGGAATAAGTGGACAAGCAGTAGGCTCCTTTCCTTGATGTGCTCGCCAGGCGGAGTCCCAACAGCGAAATAGAGACAATGTCTAACAAAAGAGTAACGAACAACGTGCATTTTACCGGTTTTTACAGGGACCATCTGGTGGCTCACAAGCTAAGCTATATGAGAACACTTTTCAAACGGATCTAAATTCACTGCAGCAATCGGGAAGGAACAGTGTGTGAGACTTGATACCTTCGCGATCAGCTTATGCAGAATGAATATGTGAAGTCGTATATAAGCCAGTGCTTACGTGTTCACCTCGGACGGCCCAAGCGGAAACATCATCGATGATCTAGCATACTCTGTCGTACATTAAGCACAATTCCGAGGTGGCCGATAGCATTGATGTTGGACTAGATGGTGGAATTGCACGCCGGTCCATAGCTACCATGCGCAGCAGGGTCATGAAAACCAACGACCGGTTAAATCCCAAGGTGCGGTCGGGCGCGGTATATCGTATTCCGTGACTAAACAGGTCATTCTGAATGCATGCTCGGGTTGTACATGCCCGAACACGAGCAGGCTGTGCTGAGGGAAGGCGAATTATTAAAAGTGGTTGTACACACCTTCAGGCGAGGTCATTCGCTCAACTTCAAAACCACTAAGCTATTAGCCCACGCCGAGAGTAAGAAAGGTGAAAATTGATTGAAACCAGGGCTTCAGATGAGAACTCGGTCACTCGATCCTGCCGCGGCACACAGAGCCCCGCATAGTCACCTCCAGACTTCTGTCACTGAGGTTGGATTGGCTATAACGGTTGCATATTCAACTGCTATCTCTGACGATGGACTTCATCAAGAACCCGAGAACTCAGAAAAAAAAAATGATTCGAGTGGTCAGCTAGTTTTCTTCTTCCTTATGCACGCACGTGGTATTCGAACACTCGCCTCCATTCGCGAAACAGTTTTAGATTAATGTGCATGCCCCAGATTCAGCCTTACATGAAAAAGTGTCAGAAGTGAGTTCATTAAAAAAGGAAATGATCGACGGCATCCGCAGTGGACGTTGAGTTCCTACACAGAAAGAACCATTGTTAAGTAAATTGGGGCATGCTTATACAAAATGTACAAGTTTGTCCCAATACAATTTCAGGTACCGCCGGTGATTAGAAATGTACTTAAGACTGTCTACGGCATAAGTTGACCACCGACCGGTCTACGCACGGGATGTTTTACGATCAAGTATTGCAGTTATGCATGCCAGTCGCACGAAGTACTCAATACATTTTTTTCATGGCTCACAAACTGGCTTACTTTAGATCAGGTGTCTAATAAGTATAGTCATTGATATGATTCGGGTCCGAAGAAAAAAGCTTCCTGTCTGCGTGAGCATTCTATTTCCCACTGTCCATTCCGAATTTATTAAATAGTTGAAATTATAGTTTATAGTCAATCCCTGAGATAATTGATGCATTCTGACTTTACTCGCTTGGGTATACTGGATTTTTTGCAATGCATAGCTTTTGAAGTCAGACACGAATTTATCATAGCTACTGGGGGGTGAGGGGCGGGGGAAGAGCGAATACCTCAGAAGTTGTTTTCGACAGCTGCAAATATTTGGGCTCTATGCCACCTGATTCACGTCGAATTACTTAACCACTAATGTTCCGAGCAATTTTTTGCTGCAAATAAAGAAGACAAAACTACCATGTCCAGTCTACCGATAAAGAAGCTTATGAAATATAATTACGCCGAGTGAACTTACGATGAAGCTTTTCCAGCCAAAGCCGCCAGCAAGTAGTCCAGCGCGGATGTCAGTCCACATGATCTGCAAAACATTTTCTGTGTTCAGTCAACATTCCCAGCAAAAATATATTGCTCCGAAAGTCAGCAACAAAAGGAGCAGCTTAATCAGTCTAGAATACTTCTGCATTAAAAACGGTAATTTAACTGTTGAGATGAGTAGAATGAGTCTGTCATAAGTTGCAATGCGTTGCGACACTCCCTAAATACTAGCTGCCATTTTGCAATAAGCTTTGTTTAGATCGCATCTGGTAGCCAGGCCCCGTATTACAGGTGGCTGGGGATTGTTTACTGGGGTTATTTTGTGGGACTCCATAGTCACATCTGACCCACTTGGCTTCCGTTTTACGTTTGAGGTTAGGATTAGGGCACAGGTTAGTGGTTTCGGTTTTCCGGTTAGGATTATGCCTTTAGGCTTAGGTTTTCGGATTACGGTTAGCGTTTGAGCGTACGAATAGGCTTCAGTATTACAGTTAGGTTTCTCAGTTATGACTATGCCTCAGGGCTACGGTTGCTTTTACGATTTCGGTTAGGGCTAGTGTTAGGGTTGACGTTCGGGTTACCAGTTAACGTTTAAGGTTGAGGTTAGGGTTAGGGGTAAGGTTAGGGTTAGGGTTAAGGTCGCCGTCAGCTTCCGCATTCCTGGCTACCAACTGCGATCTAGCCTAAGCTTTTAATTAAATAATGTCGTCCAGACGGGGATGGGGAAATTATTATTAGGCTACCCCATCTAAAGCCACTGAATATGCGATAAAGTACTGTGGTTGGAATGAAAGTACCTTATGCAATTGCGTTAATTACAGTCGAGAAAACCACTACCTCACTAGTCAGTTCAATGTCATGTGCAGGATGCATGTTCAAAAATTTTGCAATAGTAATAATTTTTGAGACCCGCAAAAGCTTATTCATGCATTTTCCCGGCATTAGGTCTATTGATGTAATTCACAGGACTAAAAAGATGCGCTCTTTTAATCATGGTATTCCACGGTAACAACTGGCTTACTTAAAAAACATGGCGGATGATGGGAATCTGTTTCAGGGGAAACACATAATATTCAGTTTGGAAATCCCCTGAACCATTGAAAACGTTGGCTATGTTTCGAAGTTCATAGACTTCGGGAGAAATTTTAATTTGATGATTTCTTCATTAGTCCCCATGCATGCAGTAGGCTGTGACGGAAACCTTTCCTCCAGACGTTTTAGATGCCACATAATCAGAGTCAGAGCATGTTCTTCGCCGTATTTATGTCAAAAAACAGACTGTTTTCGAAAGGAGTATCAACTCCCAATCTCGGAGCGTTACCGCGCTTACATTAAGTCCGTAGATTCCAAAATGACGTCCTTCAACAAGAAGACAGCGAGTTCATTCAGTCTACAAAAATGATGGTCGAAAGACATTCAATTACTGCGCCTTAAGCAGGTTCTGCTAATAAAAAGTTTTTGAGGGAGGACTAGGAGAAACAGGCGAGTGTACGTCAGACAGCCAAACATACAAGTCCTCTGATGAGGGGCAACTGAATGCGTGTATAGCAGCCTCCAGGAGAGCGTCTTTACTATAAAAAAAAGTGCAAAACAATCGACTATTAGAATAAAGGGTCCCACAAAGGGAATTTCCGCTAGCAATTAAAGGAAAAATAAAATATTTAAGGAAATACTAATAGTCGGTTGCCCGCCTGATTCTTCGTCCCCCTACCTAGGCATCGGTGCCTACGGCTCATACTTATGGGTACTGGTTGCGCTGCAAATGAAATTACGACACCGATAGGGTGTAGGACCCCAACTAACTTGATCTTGCCTGTGAACCGTGCTATGTGTTGGATGGTGATAGAGGGAGTTTTGCGGGCGGGACAACACACAGGATGGGGCGCAAGAAGACAAAGAAAATAAATAAATGTCAGCCGAAAGTCTTATCGTAAGGTGTCATTTGACAAAGGAAATGAGCGCGACACTGAAAAAATAAACAAAGGTAATTTTCAAAAAATAACGGACTTTAAATAAAGCGTCGCTGTTAAACCTACATCTAGTCGGAAGGGAAAGGGAATTTCAAACGATTGGAACGGTGAATAATCAGTGGTGTTTACAGTCACACTGAAATTTAGGGTATATTTTTAAAGTTTCCATCCACATGGGGGTCTTAGACCCTATAGTTACCGAATTTATCTAAGATATGCACGTTTCCCTGGTGTCATTGCCGTGGGCGAGTAAGCCAGCGGTCTACGGTAACTTCAACGTCCACGCGGACAGAGATCGCAGAACCTGGGCTGGAGCGTTTATTTATCACAGAGTGAATCGCACTATCAGCTGAACACTACTTTTGTTAATGACCTGCACAAAAAGCCTCGGCGTCGTGAACGTATTTTTTCGACTTCCAAACTGCACGTGCGAACCCCGTATAGCGTCCCGGGCAAGTGCTGGATTAGGTACTCGCCAGGCGGCGGAACCATCGTATCGTACTCGCGACAAACACTGAGGTAAATATTAAATGCTGGATTGATCTCGGCCTACTGATTACCAGTTAAACTGAAGATTGAATCACTGGCACGGCCGCAATGGAGGGGGCAACAGTAGCAACAAACTTGACTGAATGCGGACGGGCACTCACGAACAGGACGAATCCATGTCTGGAGCGCACTTAATTCCATGGGGATGGGAAAGTCTGGCACATTTGTAAGCAACTGTGATGTACTTTTCTGGCATATAAAAATGACTTGCAAAGTATATTAATCCACAGGGTTCACACGTCCAAAGAGACTACAAAAATAAACCTTAACTATTTCAACGCTCCCGACAACTGCCTGTGGTGCTGAGGGAGGTGCGGACACTCGAAAGCAACGCAGACAAAAAACTGTGTAAGAAGGGTAAACAAAACCTCTTCAAGTGTGTCAGAATTTACCAGAGAACCTAGAAAATTCTCAGACAAAGTCGACAGGCATGGTTATCAGTCGCAAATCTAGAACAGAAATCTTCGAAGTCTACCGAAAAGCAGCGACCAAGGCGAAACGACAAACACACAAGACTGGAATTCTGCGGGTGTACGCAGCCAATATCCCACCCGAGGCAGGTTATTCTCATTGTCAATGTCCGCTCAAGGCCCAAGTCGGGTCCGTCACAGTGTCAACAGCATGAAGTTATCCTCCGCACAACATTATACAAACATTACAAGAGAAGCCCCCTCCCCCTAGCCAACCCCGCGGAGCATCATATCCAAATCCTGGTTCCCCCTGGTCTGGCACTTCACCAACCTTACTCGGGCAACCGAAAGTACACAAAAGTCACTGCCACCAGTTCAGGCACAGTACAAAACGTCCAATGGAAGCGTAGGCTCTTTTGATTCCTGTGTCCGAACTATATTTTTGATCATCCTAATCCTCTGTTGCCATTAGAAGCTGCGCAAACATAAAAGATGGAGTGAAGCAGAGGCCTTATGAAATTTACAAACTCTAGTAGACTAGAAGAGGCATGACGTTATCTGCTGCTAATTTAGCTTTATAGTGACCGTTTGTGATCCTGGGTATAAGGAAGTCCATCGAAAAACTCCAGAAGACTTCGACAAATTCCTAAGGTGATGCATGTCCACAGGAAGGGGAAGATGTCTCTGCTCAACTACAATCCGAAATATTACTAAAAACTCTACGGTATTTTGAGAAGGGGTGTCAAAGTGTCGTTGCGCAGAATTTACTTGATAATGTGTCCTGAGGGAGTGATGACACATTTGGACCGCCTTTGCCTTAATATTCTGATATGGGAGGTGGTCATGCAGGCTCTCCAAATGTAACTGTCTTTTAAGTCTCCCTGACGTCTGAGGAGTGTCCTTAGGTAAGCAGTTCATGATGTATTAACCGCACTTAAAAATTCCTATTTAAGAAAAATTTGTGGAGCAATGTTTGATACCGAAATTCGACTTCCGATTTCTTTGGTGAGTTTCTGTATACTTGTAAAAATTAAATAAAGCACTTCTTCTATTTTAGCCTACTTCGAACTTTCTCGATCGGGCGAGCATCGTCGGATATAGTGAACCGCAAGTTCCAGCCATTGAAGACCTAATGAGTTGAAGCATGCAAAGCACATTTTATCTGGACAGAACATTTATCATCTCAAAGTTGGGCGGAATTGGGGTCAGAAAGAATGCTTACTAATTAATGCTGCTGTCCTTGCTTAGCATCAGTTCCACGACTTGTCTCAGGTAATCGCCCCTGCGGGAACGAAAAAATTTTCCATTAGGTTAATTAACAAGGGTTGAGAAATAAAAATATGCGCTTGCTCTGAGCAGTTTTTGGGCGAGTGTAACAGTCGAATGAAATGACGCAATTCCTATTAGTTCACATGCTTAGTCAACAAGACATGGGTCTACATCTCGTTAAATCCGGCCGTTAAAGTACGCTAGGATAATTTCATCCTCCGGTTCAGAAAAGATAAATTAACAGCGAGGACTGACCTCTTTTCGAAATTCTTCCGAGCGATCGTTCTGCCACGTATGCATCTTATTTCTGCCCTAGCAGCTCACAATCTCTTCAATGGTACAAGGAAAAGGATAGGACGACTTGGTGGCTTATTCCTACAACATGCGGAAACAGCCAGACAGATCCTGACGATAAGCTTCAACCAAGGCGCCGTATCGGGTTGGGCCTAATGGTGACCTATGAAAACGTAGGAGTCTTCCAGAGCAGCATATACAGTCTTCAACCCATCTCTTGGTCTGCGAACATGGCGCTGTAAAACGTGTATGCATTGGCAACCTGTCTATTTTCCTTGCGGGAGTGGTCTGAAGATGGATGGAAGCTCGCCGTAACATTGGCCATTTGAAATCACATTGGCCTTTTAAGCTTATGCTAGTCCTTGGAATTTATTTCACCACATGCAAGCCAAAGAAACCGCGGATGATGCGACTGTACTCTTACGAAGGCAAACGGCCCTGAAAAGGTTAATATGCAAGGACCTTGACATGCACAGCACAAAGTACACTTCAAAATCAATACATACAATGGGACAGTTATTCGTTTCGTCCTGAAGAATTTAGTCGCCAATCGAAGGAAGGTTTTCCTAAAAAAATTCAAAACCGCTTGCACAAGCCTCAAGCCTGTTAACGCAGATGTAAATATGGGAACATTTTTCGGACTTCGGGTCTGCGCAGAAGATAAATGCTTTTTGACTTAACTGACAAGACTTCACTTTTCAGTGTACCTTTTTGTGCTGCCGGACGCATTCAGCAACTGCTCATGACACTGACCTTCAGTTTGCGCAATCCGTTTCCAAGAGTATTACTACATCCTGCAGTAGTCAGCTCGAGTCATGGAGAAAGATATTTGCTAGGTAACCCTTCCAGTACCTATAAAGTTTTGGCCCGATATCGGCAAAACAGGTACACGTGCTTTTAGTTAGTACCGGTACCGGGGGCAAGGTAAATCAGTCTGTATTTAAACACAACCTTCCAGAAGTTGACCTGTACTAAATCGTTGATAACTGTCTGCTCACTTTCTGTGCACTAAACTTCTCAACTTTCTGAGCTGAGGTTAGATGAAACACAAGCGGAAGTAATAGTGTCGGGTTAGTACCTACTTAAATTGGTATAGTAGGTATTCTTTCTAGGCCACAGATGTTTGGGGGCCTCTACCCTACCGTTACCAACTCCCCATTCTTCCTCCAGCAATTCTTGAAATTACTAACTTAATATTCCTCCGGGACTCATATACCAGGGCCGCATAGAAAACGCTGGGAAACGCGTTGAGAAACCGAACTCCCAGCAGTTACGTCGTGCAGTAGTTGTCTTCAACCCAAATGTTAATTCTGGTTTTTGGGCTGGCTCTCAAAAGTCACGGCCCATCCCTCAACGTCGCGTCCTTCCTTTAATAATTTCCGAAATTATTAGTTTGGGATTCCTATGGGGTTCATATACCAGAAACGGTTTAGAGGAAGCTGACTTGCAGCCCTCCCAGGCGCGTTTTTAAACAACGAAAACATCAGTGAAGTGCTTGTCTGGGCTTTTAGCCGATTTCCGTGAGGGCGGTGTGATTAATCAGCCAGCAGTTGTCGCGTAGTTAAGACGTGGACGCGGACGCAATGGGGGTTGGAAGTGGACTGCACTCATGAATTTTAATTGGTTACGATTATTATGAAAACGGCAATGGCCATTTGAGTTCAAAAAAGGCAGATAGTCTATCATCACAGATCCCTCATTCAAAATTATCTACCCAGATCATGAAACTTAAAGAAAAACTAGATCGCAGGGACACGACCCCAACAACTCTAACCAAAGTCATGGTTTGACCTTAACTGCAACTCTGAACTTTACCGAAACTCTGATACCAACCTTAAAAAATCACCTTAGTCCAAACCAGAAACCTAACCCGAAATCTAATGAGATAATGATACGAGTATTTATTAGTAAAATTAAAAGCTACGTTCTTGACTGTCAGCAGCATGTAACCACTAGCTTTTGGTCACCACAGTGGTGAGCAAATAGTCTGTCTTCTAACCCAATCAGTGGAAGATTCTCCAGAACGTTTGATCTTTCCCATGGCTACCGACGGGACAGCGTGCACATGACTCATAGGTAGGACGCTAGACTTAAGGTCTAATGACCGAAAAAGTTCGGCGTTGGACCCCAAGCTAGCACAGCATGAATTTGGGTATGACCGCCTGACGGCAGATAGACCATCCCAGTTTGCCTTGTTTTTGCAAGTACGCCTTTCTGCATCATTAGTGGTCCTCATGCGATCACTTGCAGGGTTCATACTGAGACCCAAAACGCAAAGGGACATGCATGTCCCCTAACCTGGTCGGCAGACGATCTCTCAAACATAATGAATGGTCTCTATGTACTAAGACTTCTAGCTTGACCAGGGCGCGGCTAGCATTAATAGGTGAAAAGCGCTGCAAAGCCGATGCATCCTGAACAGAAACGTCATGTAAAAAGTACACAGGGTATACAGGATGAGCAGTTGCTTACATGCTAAGAATTTAAAGTTAATGAATGCTCACCCGTTTGGTGTTTCGGGGTCTAGGGAGAAACCGGCTATCTTTGGTGGCTCCATTGTAGGACTAAAAAGGAAATATTTATATTAAAATGCCAACAGCAATTCATGTATCGCCCTTTGGCATCTATACTTAGTGGACATACACTATACTCGTTTACATGGACAACTGCTCACATCTCTTGCAAATTAGTAGGTACATTCTAATTCCATTTGAATGAACACCCATCATGAGGTAATTCCGCTCAGAAGTCAGCAGCCAATTCATGAACAGCACCACAAAACTCAAAACAATTCCTTCTCCTGGAAAAACAATGCTCGCTTGAGCTAAGGTTCCAGTTCGCCAAACACCCCGTAAAATAATCTACAGGAAGTTTTCCTGAAGATATACAAAATTTTCATGCCCTCTTTCATAATAGTCCGAACTGTTACGCTGTTTTCCATGCAAACTGTGGGCAGTGTGCCTCACTTTCTGTCTTGAAACCATAATTACATTGTTTAATTTGTAATAAAATAAAAATGCACATTTCAGCATTAAACGACAAAATCGGACCAGGGTGAAGCCTTTTGTTGCCAATTAGCAGGAAATTTGCACACGAAAACCCGTCTGGCAGCATACAGCAACATATTCTTATTACCCTCATTTTCCCCACAAAGAAATATCCCTTCACCTCTACCAGTCGATGGTAAACTGCTTCTGCAACTAACTAGGATTGTGTTGATAAAGGAGTTAGAACAGCGGCAGACAATGACGATCGGAATGTAATAATAGTGCCTTCCAGAACAGCGTTAGACCATGTGCTTAAAATAATCGGTCATTAAATTGGCTTAGGCAAAGAATTCGCGTCAAACCGACAACTTGTTATCAGCTGACTCACTTGCTGGAAATACTGCCCTCTAACTCTCAACCTGGCGCGTACATAAAAGTTACGTCACAGTACATATTGCCCCATTTAAAAAACTGGCAGTCCAGGTGCTGACTGAAAAATCAAATATTTATACCACCCTTCGAAATGGGCCTATAAAACTTCGGTTTGACTGATTTACTCCAAGATAGTAAATAATTTCTACAAGGAATAAAAATTTAAAAAGCAGCCCAAGTTAGAATAAGCAAGTGTAAAACGGCGGGCATGAAAAAGGGTTTCTTGGGATGCATAGGACTTCCTGCTAAGTCTTGACACTTTTGTCCTGTTGGCCAGACGGTGCATTAGAGAACATATGAACGTTTTGCAAAAACGGTTGAAGGACTACTTACCCGAGTGATTCGTTCAAATAGGGCTCCAGCACTGAGATAATGTCATCGATAGAGCTTGTTCTGTAAGTAAAATGAATGAAAACAATGCTGTAGGACTGATGTTTAACAGCTTCCAGAGAGTTAGTGGATGGCCCAAAGAGGCGATCAAAGAGTGCTGTCCCCCTGCGTTTCCCGTTTGCACTGAAGACTTCGGCAGAAGTCGGAATGCAGCGAGGATAACCTAATCGGCATTGCGTTTGTCAACAGTAGAACGGGTTCCACTGCCAAGACGAAAACAAGCCGGGTTGGAATGACGGTGTGTGCAATGAACGTAGTAGCGTTCATCGGCAGAGTGCCTACACTCCCAAAACAAGAGCCGGCCACGCGTGTTTTCTCTTGCATGCTGTCAGCATGATGGTGACGCCTCACTACTGGCTGCTTCCCTGGAGCCTGATCGATCCGTATATGCGAGAAACCGATCAGCTCGTCCAGGATTTTCCTTTCGAAGTGCATTGGACCAAAGGCAGGCAAACTCCAGTAGGATGTTATAAATATGCGTTACTTTTTCCAGTTAGAACGACTTGCAGTTTTCTTATGCACTTTTTCGTGGCCGGCCGGGTTATCCTTTTCTGCCGTAATGACATTGGGAACAAAAGTTGAGTGCACATACACTCCGCGCGATTTGTAAATCTCAGGCCGGTCATAAAACTGGCTTATTCCGCGATATATCAGCCGAAATGCTTGGGCGGTTAGCTTACTCTATCGGATTTGGTGGAGTCCCTACTTTGCATTAAGGTGGGCAAGCAACTTGGCCTAAATCGGATTAAAATCACACTCGAATGGTTGAAGTGTTAGGTATACTCAGGCCTTTTCCTTGCTGTCGTGGGTTCAAATACCACCGGGGCCGCCGAATGTTTCGCAAATTGGTAAACTGAGTTAAAGAAAAGATTAACTGAATAACGCAACATGAAGTAAATAATAGGTCGGCGTATAATAGACATTGAAAAGTTTTCTTCGCACCCATTCTCATCCGGCGTCAGGATAACGTTGACCAATGGGAGGAGCGATTCTTGTAACCTAAATAAAAATTAGGAAGCTGACATTCGTATATGCAGCATTGACGAGAATTATGCAAATTGATCAGCAAGCAGAGAATTAAAGTTTGCGGTTTTCCCATTTAGCAACCTAAATTTAAGTTCCGACCTGAATCTTAACTGGCTAATGGTGGTGCATGTGTCAGAAATCGAGAGCTCAGTTTCTTTTATTTTTGCTGTTTACAATTTTTGTGCCTCTTTGGAATTGTCCGTACAAGCCACATCCAATTGAGGAACCACTTACGCGATGTGCACTTATTCCACTGATTTTTGCTGTCCCTATTTATTCAGCAACACGTCTCAGGAAGTGAAGTTACAGGTTACTTCCGGATTTTTGCTTTGCACGATGGCATTTATTCCACAAATACTATGCTTTGAAAAGGATGGTGCTTTGTTTCCAGAAAAGTATACTGGTTTTGGTTAATATCGATTCTTGACGCAACTTTTAACCTATTTTCGAAAAAATTCAAACAACGTGCACGGTAGCTTTAAAGGAAAAATAAGAACTATGATCACACTACTATAAGGATATCTGGCGCACGAAAAATACCGCTTTACTGATGTCACGTTTGTTTTGAATTCGGCAATAATGTGTCCGAAGAGATTAAGTGGCACAAATAACCAAACAAACATCTTAAAAGGTATAGTTTCTCACAGATGAAAACATGGAAGAACACGTAGTTTTGTGGAAGCCAAGCATTAGATATGGTTTTACATCTTTCTAGGATATCCGACGAAAGTTACGGAAACATAAACAATCGATAGTGATGAAAACCACAGAGGCGCTTGTTTTTACTCGATGGGGTTTAAGTAGGCGGCCTAAGCTATAACCATCTTGAAACCAGTTTGCGGCTATGTATGAATTAGTTTGTCATCATTTTTTGTGCCAGTCAGTACCTCGGCTTTCCTTCAATCTCTTTTTATGTTTTAATTTTGGTCATTCTGCTCAGTTGATGCCTCTCTGTCTTGGACGCTTATTATATAAGTGAAAATTTGTCTGTCCACGGAATTCTTAGGACAACTGTCTGGTTTCATCGGAGAAGTTATGTGTATACATCTTTTCATGAAAATTGAATATTAATACCGTAGCCCGCCTGGAGACTCTCCAAAAATCCCACCTGACATTTTTACCCTAACGTATGTCAAAAATTCCTTCCAAAATATTTTTCAGACTCGGAAGGCGGGATTCAGGTTTTGAGCACTCAAAAAATATTTTGAGGGCAGCGGCCTTCGAACATGCTTAAAATTTGCCGTTTTGCAATAGATATGTCCCGTTTTTCCCAAAATCTGTCAAAAATATTTTGCACAATATTGAGACACTTGACTAACTGCTGGATCACCTGGGCAGAACTTACATTAAAGTCATCGGTGACGTTTCTGTAGTTGTTGTTGCATTGCTGAAACAGATATACCGACTCATAGGACACCAAGAACACAGTCTCGAGGGTAAATACTCAATCTTTCAACAGATGGGCCCTGCAAAACTAGTATGCTAATTAAATTTTCTCGTAGTGTCAGGTGTAGGGCGCCAGTTAAGCCAAAAGGGGCTGCTGATTGATAGATATTCAGTTAGTTACTACTTTCATAACTGGCTCGTGGTTTCTTAAAATCGTTTGTTCATTCACCTAAGGACATTTCGCGCCGGACAACTCATACAAAATGCAGACGCTCCCAAACAGTCTGACGGATGACAGGTGCGGATGACATCACGCTTCCTCTAACAACAGATATTCTGGCAGCGTAACGAATATACAGAGGTGTCGAAAGTGGTCCGAAAACAGGAACGCTGGTTATTTCCCGCAAAAGCGACAGAAACTCGGTGGAAATCCCGCACCAGCAGAGGATAGCCGTTCATTGCCAACAAATCTGGCCCAAGAACCCGTGACTGTCCGAAAATACTTCTATTTCTGTCGGTCATTTTACTTAGCCTTTTCAGTCGACAGGCTATGACTGCCAACAACTCAACGCCGTGAATGCCTAAATGGAAAGATACCATGTCAACGTTCGCGTTTTTGTGTGGCTCCAGAAGACTCCGTGTACTTGCGTGTTCCGACAGGAACACAAACTGAGAGTTGGAGGAAATCCTCAATAAAGTGCTAATTTAGATATTACCCTCGGTACATCCACAAGCCAGTCCATGAAGCTGTCAGCCAAAACAGACTACAAAAGGTCTAAATTGGGGCTAGCGCTAATGACTCTTAGATAACTCCAGTTTTTTGTTTCCCACCTTCTTATGTCTGCTACCCGTTGCACCCTGATGACATAGTTGGCGCATCAAGTCTGTGCCCGCACACTCTTGAGTATATTGGCTTGTGTTTCTAACTTGTCCCCAAACGGGCCACGGACTGGGCCGATACCGGGGCCATATCCTATTCTGGCAGGCGTTGTCAGATTGCACGTCATGACAAATCCCAACATTTCGGGGTGCGGTGGCAGAACCAACTGTCGGCACACGTCGCGCGCACTGGGATCCCTTCCGTCCCCCATTGTTTTTGTCGGTCAAAAACCTGGTCACTTGTTGTGTGGACCAGGAAGTACGGAGTGGAACGCCAAGTCGCGGGCTCGACTGTGCCATCCACCTATGCCACCCCCCGCCTCCGGTCTTCTTGACTCTGTCTTGACACCGGATCCAGGTGGGGGTGGAGGAGAGAGTGTGGTAGATGCTGAGCATGTCTACCACGACCACTACTACTATTACTACTATAAACTACTTCACGCATAAGTCACCGTGCCTGCTCCACTTTGCTGTGGGGCTCCCGGTTGACATCGTCGGCAAAGACGGTCGAACTGTCGTGCTTCTAGCGAAAATTTGTACTGGACTCACGGCTTTTGTCTGTGCATCCGTGTCGCATTGGTGTATTTAACCCGTCGGTCACCAGATCAATATATCCGCTCTGTGTTTGCGCGCTTGCTGCGAATGTTGTCGGTGGTACAGACTATTTCGCACCCTAGTTGTAGCTCCTAACTTATCGTACTTGCCCAAGGCCTAATTGACTGTCCGAAGTGAAAAATTGGGTTTCTTTGCGTTCATCATCTCTGTCCCAGCTAAAGGTATCAGATCGGCCAGTTATCCCATGGTATGTATGGATTCTGTCAACCGCCCTTATCAACCTCAGTCAGGTCTGATCCCTCCGTCGACGTTAACTGAAATCGTATTTTGACGCGATAGATCGAGTAGACTTGCTCAATTCCACTTCCGGAGTTTTTTCATACTTCCGTTACTGAAGCACGCTGGAAGTCGGAAGAGGAGTCGAGGTCGCATCTGCGCGATATTTCCTTACTGTGGGCCCACAAGATCTTGATATGTATGCGAATTCTCCCTGCTCTCATATCAATCATGGTCTGCGTCACGTACGACAGACCACTCTAACTATTCAATGCGCATAACTAAATAGTTGACTTATGTGCGAACATGTATTGAAACAACAGGCTTATCGGACATTTTTGTTTGCAGATAACAGCAAACGTAGAAGATTTGATGCTGCATTCTCACAGTCTCTGACGATGGCCACCTGTACGAGACAGAAAATTCAGACTAATAAACCTACTATCCCACAGATCGTTTGTTCATCTTCTTATTTCAATTTATGTTTAAATTTGAGGGCAGCAGTCACAAAACGACAATGTGAAATTCATAATCAACACCAGTGCGCTTTTAATTTAAAATAATCTAGAAAAGGAACAAGTCATGTGCCATCGTACAAACGCATGCTGTTCTTGATCGTAATCTCCAGATGTCAATGCGGAGCAGATTATCTCGCAAAATTCTGCCTAATAAGTAATCGTTGCTCTACTACCTGACCGGTAACTTCAGTAAGATGGCATGCAGGATCACGTCTGAGACGAGAACGTTCACTTCCAAGGCACTTGGAGCAAAAGAACAATTACTGAACTCGAAAGCCCCCGTGACTTTCCTTCCAGTTACTTTAATATATACCCTCCCAAATCCCCCCAGTTATCGACTCCCACAGCAAAAAACTTTCTCACCAACCTACCCTCCTTTGTCGTCCTTGCTCTCGTCCTCGGACGGAAAGAGTAACCCTTCCAAAAGATTGTATAGCAGAGGCTTTGCTAACTCAAGGCTGTAAATAAGGCATAGACAAGAATAAAATGGCTTAAAGAAAGCGGTACGGTTGTAAACAAATCTGACTCCCTTGTAAGAATATGAAATGGCATGTTTCCTACAGCGACCTGAATTTACTGAGGATTCGTAATATGTGCCCAGTGTTTCTGACGGTTAATTTTTTTAGAAGATAGAGGAAATCATAGTTGATGGTGATAGCGGAAGTTGCAGTGTCGAAATTTAGATGCAATTTGGCGGAAATCCTTTGGTGGTCTTTAAAGACAATGCCCTCATGAAGGTCACAAGGTCGAAAAATATAGCGTTATCTCAAATTATCGTAAAGGGTGCAGTTTCAAAAGCGGATTTGGAATGGGGCACCAACATTGACAACCTCTTCGGAAAATTGACAATCAACTATTTGGTTCAATAAACACTTCAGAAAATATGAATACTGCGAAGTTTTGAAGTATTACCGGATCCATTAAACATCCGATGAACGTTATCTACGTCAATCAGACCAAAATCTCCAAAGTGCACCATCCCACATTTGAAATTATCTTTTCCAAGAAGCAAATGAGACTTCATAAGATACTATAAGCATGTCAAAAGAAAAGTACCGATCAGAATGACGAACTTGAGTAAATAGCTTGAAAAACGGAAGATCTTGCTTGCACAATTCGTAAGTCATAGATATTTTGGCAGACTTTAAATAATTCATATTGACCCAACTGTGGAAAACTCGGCGCCTCGGTGGGATTCGAACTCACGCAGTAAATGGAAGGCTTTAGTACAGCCAACGCTCTAACCACTTGAGCTACGAGGTCCCACCGGACGACGCGAGTTTAATCACATTTGGGTCAAGTTACCCACCCAGCCCTCTGCAACGTCTGGAATCCACCAAATCTGATACAGTAAGTTGACTGTCCAGGCAGGATTTCCTAAGTAATTCACCTAGAATCCACCAGATGACTACAGGCTTACGTAATCCATAGATGTTTTGGCAGATTTTGAATAATTCATATTAAACAAAATGTGAAAAACTCGGAGCCTCGGTGGGATTCGAACTGGTTGTACTAAAGCCTTACCCTTACTGCGTGGGTTCGAATCCCACCGAGGCGCCGAGTTTTTCACAGTTGAGTCAATATGAACAATTCTTAAGATCATATTGCGTGGATTAGGAAGACTTCCCGTTTATCTTTATATACAACTGGTATTGAAATAGTATGATGCCTGTGTAAATGCTTGTGAGAATTGCAATGTACGTTGAATCTGTCATAGTAAACACAAATCGGTTAAACTGTTTTTTGAACACAGTTAAACCATTGAGAGGTAGAATTTCATTATTATTGGAAAGAAATGCTGCACAACTGACAATTACAGGTTGCACATGATCTTATTATAATATGAACGACCTGTTTGCCACACTTGTGTATCTGGGTTGGGATCTGTTCATCATATATTTTCTATGATATTCAGGGTCATGAATAACCAGCATTATCATGAGCCAAACACTGAAGTACTTGTAAGTTAAAAATTTAAATACTTTTGTAGACGTCTGAACTGTTCAGATTTTTTTAATTTGTCTCTAAAAACAAACTATTCAGACAAATTTCCGGAAATTATGTCGCTTAAAAATTTCTAACTGGACCAGTGCCAATTTTCAAAAATTCTAAAATTTGACCCATATATGCCAAGAATAAAGGCGACAGATAATGCCAGTATAAATATGCGAAAATATTTTGTAGATCATAGCAAAAAGCAAATGAATTGGATATAGTTTTTGTGCTCTTTTTGGTCAAAATGTTCTGCTGACTGTTCACAAAGGCTTTTGCATCTAAACTGAATACTCGGAAATTTTATGGGTACCAGAGCCAGTTTTGTAAATGATTTACGTTTCAGGTCTTTTGCAGAAAGAAATGCTGATATGAGAATGAATGAAACCTGATCTCCACTTTTACGTATTGCAGCCAGTCAACCAAAGAGGACATTTTGTTCAGGCGTCTACACTGGAGAAAAGTGGGGCAGTCGAATACCGCGGCGCTCAAACTTGTGCAGACCTGATCTCCTACTTGTGCTGCGCCCTCTATACCTACAGCAATCCGATTGATGCCCTTTCTATTATACTGAATATTCCCAGCCCCAACCAACGGGAAAAATGGTCGGCGATTCAGTGACAGAACATTGGACTACTCTACGTCCAGTAACCGAAGAACCTGGGTTAGAATCCCTGGTCATCCAGACCTGAGGGTGGATATGTCTGGTTGACGAAGGATAACAAACCAGACATGGTCATCACAGTCCCTTTACGTAAAAAATGTTCCGGAGGCCGTCAGTCGCTTTCTCGCACCACATGGACTTGGAGTTTCACACAGGCCATAAGCAACCATTAGACGCCAGACAATAATAGCAAATGACGCACTTACACGGCCAGAAACCTCTGAGATTATTCAGCGAGTCTGATACAGTTGCGGGCAAATAAAATGCATCGGAGAATTTGGAAAATTGCTCCGGACGCGGATCGCCGAACACGTGGTAGCACTATAGAGAAATGACGTCAACTCGCAAGTCGCCGGCCATTCGACGAGACCCGGCCACATATTCAAGTTCGATAAGGTCAAAATTCTCGAGAGAGGTGACACTCGCGTGAGCTGCGAGTTGCCTCAGTCATGACTTATGGTATCCTGGTCTATTAAGAAGTGCACTGACATCCCACGCCATATTCAGTGCTGAAATTTATTTAACCAAATTAATTAGCCCCTTGGGGGCGCGCAGGTCGATGAGCCAAGTGGCCGAGCTATCGTCACGCCAACATATGCAACACGGCTGATGACATTTCAGCAATTAACGACTTGCATTCCGATCGTTATGCAGTAAGCGCATCAAGGACAATTAATCAGCGACGAAAGGGGGAGCCATTAGTTGCCAAAGGCATGCAGCAGTTGGACAACTGAATCCTATAAATACTCAAATTCTTGTGCACGATGTACCGGTATCTGACACCGTTTTCGATTATGGGTTCGACCGTGAAATCAAAACGTCAAACAAATAAAGTTCTTTTTCCAGCAACCGCACTTTCTTCTTCTCAATCTCTTCCGCCTTTGTCCTTATCTCTTACCCGCACTCAGACATTTTATCAAGAGAGTTTTACTGGTCGGATCTCCGCACAACAGGTAGCCTCGCGCTAAATTCCATGGGGTATTTATTCCCTTGGCCTAACCTTAACCCTTATCTGAACCTTGACTTCAATCCTAACATAAACCCTCCCAGCTCTAATGATCGTTCTCCTTATCTCAGCACTGACCCAGGTCTTAATATTCCTGAACTTTTTAGTAAGGTCAGCTGTACTAAGGGGTGTCCATAATCCTTTGCCCAACGCGTTTGCCGCGAAGTATCAAACAAGTTTTCCACTCACGTCTTTTTTCCACCCTTGGTTTGTAAATAGTCGTAAAGAAGTTCATCCAATTCGTATTCGCTAAAACACAAAGACAGTATGGGAGTTTATTAGCCAGAACGTTCTTGCGATTTCACTTACCTTGCACTCAGTCCTCCGTCATTTTTATGGATTAAAAATTGACAGAGTTGTTGGAAGGTGGACGGCTGCGTAAAAAATTCGTTTACTTTTCGCCGCTTAATCTTCCTTCACTAGAACCATTAATTCAACTAGTTGAGGAGTAGGTAGGCAAAGAGTGACATGCTTAGTCTTTAGCCCGCGAAAAAAACCCGCACATAGGCTTTCAACAACCTGTAAATGAAACCTTTGTCAAAAAATAGAAATTGAGCCAAAGTTGTTTAATTTTCAGGCGGAGTGCGTATTTTATCAGAAACCATTGCTTACGCCTTTCCCTCCATTTTCTAGCATTGTTGTTACAGCACATCCGGGCAGTAGATCTATGCGTCTTCGTCGAGCCTTTATATTTGTCATTTTAGTTTGACCAATGATGCCACTCTTAGACAGACAAGTGACCAAATTTGGGCTTTTTTATCTCAGCCATCAGAAAGGATCTTTACATGACCTAAAGTAGGTGGGCTAACTCATGAAATGCCAACTAAAATTTCGAAACGCGTTTTCGTTTCGAGAAAATTAATTAGCTAGGGTTGTTAAATTTATCATCGTGAAGCACAATTCTGTAATAATTCCGTTACCTCAAAACGTCGGCTTTGGAATGAACTTCCTTCTGGCTGCATGAAAAAACTACACTCTGTAAAAAATGACTCGTTATGCAGCATGAACTTTTTTCATTAATATTGGTGCCTCTAAATGTCCAATTATATTACACGGAAAACATGAGTAAAAATATTCATTCTTCTTCTTATTCGGTATATAATTAGGTCTTCTTCTAATTTTATGCTCGATGGAAGGACAAAATTCGTTTTTTAAAAAGTTTATAATTGTGGGACTTCTAAATACTGTGAAATGGCCGTTCACAAATCGTCATATCTCTGCATTTACCAATGTGACTTGTAAAGATAACAATATGGATCAAATCCGCTGCTTAATTTCATGAACCCTATATGGCCCCCCTTTATTGCCTTGGAGAAGTGTGTGGTTTTCCATACGCGCAAAATATACGGCTTGTAAATTGGCAACCTTGAATCGAAGTGTGACGATGGAGCGGGTGCAAAATTATTCGGGAATTTGAAAACCTTTTTAAAAACAAATTATGTCCCTCCTTTGAATATAAAATTAAAAGAAGACGTCATTTTCTACCGAATAAGCAAAAGAATGAATATTTTTATGCACGTGTTCCATGAAATATAATTAGACATTTATGGGCATCGAAAATCGATGAGAAAAATTCATGCAACATATGTAGTCAGTTATTACAGAGTATAGTTTTGGCATGCAGCCGGAAGGAAGTTCATTCGAATGCCGGCATCCTGAGATAACGAAAATATTATAGAACTATGTTGGAGGCTGACTAGTTTTGCAACACTACTTGATAAATCTTTTCGAAACGAAAATGCATTTCGGAATTTCGGTTGACAGTTCATGAGATAGCCCACCTACGGTAGTATTTAGCTTAGTTTTTGACGATGTCTGACCTTTAACCGACCAACCAGTCGAGTCCTATCATTGACATTATAAGTGAATACAATGCAATTATTTTGAAATTTCCCGAATCCCTTCTTTTAAAGCGAGTGCAAACAGACAATCCTCTAAATTACAGTATATTTGCAACTTCGGCAGATATTGTATTCATTACATCAAAAAGATGCATTCATCTCCTTCTTGTCCTTGAAACAATAGTCAGACAAACGATTCCGATTGGACGGTTTGCTCGAGTGGCATCATCTGCCTCATTTCCGCAGACATCTAATAAGTCTGTGCATGAAAGATCCTGTTAAATCACCGGGCGACTTTTTTCACTAATTATGAGGCTGAGAAGTGGAACAGTCTCTTTGGCACAGTATTTAGAACTGTGTAATTGATATTCCTAAGGACATAATTGGCTGATCATATATGCTCCTTAATACCAGCGTACGTTAATAACGAAATCTTTAGAGGATAATAGCCAACTGTTACTGTGAGACATGCCAGTAATCTGTTTACTTTGATGTCTTATAGACTCGTTTATATAAAATTAACATCCTACACTGCGGATTATATCAGTCCCAAGGATCTCGCTCTTTACTTCCAAAAATTATTGAAATATACGAAAATTATAGTTGATAGAGTACGTTCATTTTACTAACCTGACGTTTGCGCTTGTAATAAAACTCAAATACCACTCGTTGACGACTCTAAAAAGAAAGATGGACATATGACTGAGTTGAACGTGCATCCTGTCGGAGGGTTGACTGGCGTTAGCCTTTTCCTCCAAAAGACTGAATTCCCGCCCGTCTTGTTTCCAAACGAGAAGGAACAGCATGGAGTACTTAGTAAGTGAACGGTTATAGTTCAGTTGAAACAACTGCAAGTGGGAGCAAAGTAAACCTGTATTATGGTCCAACCTAACGTCCTTATGATGGACTACGGAAACGATTCTTTATTTAGATTGTATTTTAGAGGTGTTGATAATTTATCAACGTATACGATCGCTTTCTTCGTCTTTTAGACCCTGCACTTTCAAGTTTTTGGTTTATATAAGCTAATGATGGACAACTTTAAGTGTAACCTACGGTATAACGAACAGCTGCGTGTCAATTTAGTGCGGAAAGGTTCACGCTGATAACGATCCGCACATAATTTTCTCAAAGTCAGACAAATGTTTATTCTACAAAATTGTTTTGAAACATGCTTAATTTCTGCCGAAGCAAAAGTGGGATCTGTGAACGGACAGTGAACGTACGGTTCTGGTGGAGGTCTGAAAGTAAGAGCAGTATGAGGTGTCACATTCCATTTCAAAAATAACCCACATTTGGTCATCAGTACGTTCTTAATGATGCGTTGTTGAAAAAATGCCAAAAATTGTGTCTAACACGATATTTAAACCAGTTTTCTGGGCGGAAGTATTCCGGTTCATCGGAAAGCTCTGTTTGAGTACTAAGTCAAGCCAGAAGTATCAAGCAGCAAAGGTTTATTGGCAGGCAATTTAACTGTCATTCAGTCGAACTAAAAGAAATATGGTTCAGGGTATTTAGCTTGTTTGCGGATGATCTTCGATATGATACTAATGAATAGATCCGAAATTTGTTGTTAATGTTCGAAATATTTAAAACCATATTCGCCAATAGTTACAAGACTCTATGTTCGATACTCTTAAGGGTATAACTGCAATTTATATTTCAGAATATTGATATATTGTCCGCGGAGTGACGAAGTGTAATCGAAAACTAGATTAAGGGATATGCTCGGATCATAGACTTTTCCTTTGGTTTAATATACTAAAGCAACTTCATTTAATAAGACGAACTCTGTAAGCACGACTCAGCACTAGTCCAAATTTTATCACTAAAAATCAAAGAATGCACGCCAAAGCCGAAATTATGCAACCACTTACGTCCCTTGCGATAAATTTTTGGAAGTTAGCACAAATAGTTTACCAGTGAAATGGCTAGTACTCTTCAGAATTGCTAATGTATAAAATTGAAATTCCAACGAAGAAACTTGTACAAAATGAGATGTTTAAATGCAGTGGACGAACAATGGGAAGTGGGACAGCAAAATGTTCACAAATGCGGTTCTGGGTTCTTCGAAGGCTTTGAAATTAAATCGATTAATAAAGGGTGATGACAAAGGCATCGTATAGAGACAATGACAAACACGGCAACGCAAAAGTAAATAGATTAATGACAAGTTGTTTTAAAAGAATGTGAATTTGAGGCAGAAGTCAGCAAAGTTGGAAACAGAACGCTGAGCTGAATAAAAATACTCACGGCTCGGTATCCTTTTTATCATCACTGAAATAGATAAGAAAATCGATTTACCATGAGAGTGCGGTGGTATACAGCGTAAAGACCCTGCAATGAATGGCAGCAGACATTGCAGTCCGGTTTGTAGGAGCCAATAATCATCAGCACCTAAGTCGTCAGTTGTTAGAGCGACTTCTCATCTTAGACGGAACTATGGTGCGTCCGGTTTGGTAATACTCGGTAGTTTATGGAAAAATAAACTGCCATTTTACGCATTCGTTGTCTTGTTACGAACTTCTGACAGAGTTTTGCACTTCAAAGCCGTCTAAATGCCCATCTATCGAAGTACGTCACTTTCTTTTTGTTGGAAGTAGACGTCGCTGGACAGTGTGCAGGTCAGACGCCGTCTAACTGTACGATTTTACATCCGTCCGTAAGATGTACTTACGTGGTCCCACCTGATGGACACGATACTTTTGGGGTCGCGTTTTGAGAATATGGACTAGGGTTAGGGACCAGATTTAGGAGTTAGAGCCACTATTTCTTAACCACTCAAAGTACAACCATACGTTCCCAATAGCTATTCTTTTGCGTACATCTACTATACCTTGTCGTCCGTGCGCTCCCCGGCCCCACCTGCAAAAAGCCCTTTTAGCACCGGACACGTATTACATGTGACTGGGATTTGTTTACTTCTGGTGGGGCTACGTAACCACATCTGATCCTCCCTTCCGTCAAAATGATGTGCCGTTTCACAACCAAGAGATTGCTTATTTATTTAGTGCAGGCAGGAGTGAACAAACCTCTCTGTGACATCGCATGTGATGGATGTTTGTATGAACTCAGACCTGCAGACAACAAAGAAGCGTCCGTAGCGGACTTACCCACTTGCAGTAGTAGAGGAGAACCTGATAAAGCGGAATGTGCGAGGCGTTAGAAATGACTGACTGAACACACTTGTAATGTTTACATTTTAATCCTAACTAAAGTTTTAGTTCATGTCCCTCGAAAGACTTTTATGTTAATGAAAATGACTCTGAACTAAGGGGTGTTATTCCTTCAGTTACGCGGCGTGATTGGTACTGGCAGTTGGTAAGCTCGCCAATAGGTCGTCCTTGCACTTCGCAATTGTCTTCAGTTCTAGAGGTCTTAAGTAATCTGCAATCACCTAATAAGTTTACGCAAACACAAAACGACATGTGCAAACTTCTGTCACGGAAATTCATCTTGATTTAAGACCGAATTACATACGGATATGTAGTTGTTGTTGTTGCCTTTGTCGTGGTCTCGTCATCTCTGAAATTGGGAACCAAAGTAAGATTGCTTGAATAGCGGAGTGCATTTTCAAAAAAGAGATCTTGTGACTAAAGGGAGGAGTAGGTTTAAATGCTTTTGGCCCGATTAGCAAGAACACAGGTAGCTGGCGTGCAAGCGGCCAAACTTTATTGAAAACGAAACTAACATGAGTCTGCCGTGGCGTCTTGCAATCGCCAACAATGTATCAAGAGAACGCAATCCAATGGCCATGCTCCCTTTCACCGTCCAAATCCACATGCGGATTTCACAGTTTATATATGTATCCGCAATATAATGTATGCGGTTAGACAGTAGTAAAGTCACACTAAAGTTGTTTTTTTAAAAGATTAAGTTTCTCTAGATTCCAAACTCATTCGGTAGAAAATCACGCCTTCTTCCAAGTTCATACTCAAAAGGAGAGTATAATTTGGTTTTAAAAAACTTTTTTAAATTCCGAATAATTTTGAACCCGACCTGCTGTGACACTTGCATTCAGGGTTTCAAAACTACAAGCTGTATATTTTCCGTTTACGGTAAACCGTGCATTTCTCTACGGTGTTAAGGAGAGACTATATGAGTTTCATAAAATTAAGCATTGGATTTGAGCAATATTGTTAACTTTACAAGCCACATTCGTAAATGCAGATACATGACGTTTCATGAACGGCCATTTAACGGTATTAAAAAATCTTACAATTATAAACTTTTTTAAAATCGAAGTATACTCTTCTTTTGAGTATGAAATTGGAAAAACACGTGATTTTCTACCGAATAAGTAAAATAATGAATATTTTTATTCATGTTTTTCATGAAATATAATTGAATTTTCAAGGATATCGAAGATAAATGAGAAAGTTGCATACTACTTAAGTAGTCATTTTTTGCAGAGTAGAGATCTTGCATGCAACCGAAAATAAATTCTTTCGAAAGCCAACACCCTGAGGTAACTGGATCCTTATTGATTTATGCTGCATCATGATTAATTTTACAACATTATTTAATTTATCTTTTCGAAGCGAGAACGCATTTCGAAATTTTGGTTGACATTTCACGAGTTAGCACATCAACAGTATGTTAAGCAGCCTTCCATAGTCTTCCAACTGGTGAAATTAGTTTATCTTTAAACCCCTCTTTCACTGGAATACATCATCCAGTATCAAAAACTTCTGAAATTCTTTTGAGAACTGTGGCGAAGGCAGTAGACATAGACGGACGGTGGGGACACTGCGCAGGGTTTAACCGACGATTCCATTTGAATTTGATCTAGCCAGATTGCTGAAGCCTAGTGCTGCCATTGTGTGTAAGTTATCTCTGATAATATTTTCTACGAACCATTAGTGAAGAATTCGACAGGTAGGCTTTTTTCCCTCCAACACACACTTTGAGCCACGGAGCACATTGTGTTCTTATTTGTATTCTCCGAAATGAATGACCGTCAGCGTCCAAGCACTATGTCCTAACCGTTAGTGGATCCATTGTAAGTGGGTCTAGTGTATATCATTTCTCAAACTAGGATTTTGATGGAAACAAACTGTTCTTCCCACTCTAATAAGCTTCTCCGAACCTCAATTGGCATCGTGTAACGCCCCTTTCGCTGCAAAAGATCGTATTCTATTGAATGACCTTGGAGGTACCCAGAAAGTCAATGTGCCAGAGGTTGGAGTACTGCCTTTTTACAAATCTAAGTAACTCACGTTGACCCGAGTCTCGTAATTAACTCAGATAGTGAAATCGTCCACGTAGAAAGGACTGTCATGTTTATTTGGATTAAATAAAAAAGAGTGAAAGTAATTTTTTTAGCGTATGTGAGGTGTGCTCATGCAAACCCAACGTGGGATGTATGTAACATAAAAATAGAGATAGAATTTCATACGGCTTTTTAGTGGTGGTTGTTTCCGTCGTGGCCTTCGGCATATCTCTGAAAGTAGGAATCGTAGAAAAATTACTTGAGGAGCAGAGTTTATTATACGATAAGTGGTTACACATCGAATCCAATGGATAGAACCAATTGTGTTTGGTCCGAGTTGAAGAAAACAAACGTCGTTAGCGTACCCTTAGTCAGCGAGAAATGCCAACAAACCTAATGTGAGTCTACCGAAGCGTTCCTCTATCACCAGCAATGCCATGGGAAGGGGAAATCGATGGCCAGATTTTCTTTCACCCCCCACAGACACGTACCGATTTGAATATTTATATTTGTAGATGTTTTGCCAGATTTCGAATAGTTCACATTTACCCATCTGTGAAATAATCGGCGCCTCGGTGGAATTTGCACCCAGGACAGAGAGGGGAAGGCTTTAGTGCAGCCAACGCTCTAACCACCTGAGCTACGAGGCCCTCCCCCCGGGAGACGTGAGTTTCATCACCTTTGAATCAAGTTACCCACCCAACCTATAGCAAAGTCGGAAATCCACCAAATCTGATACAGTAAGCTGACTGTCCAAGCATGATTTCCTAAGTTGTATGTACACCTAGAATCCAACAGATGACTACTAGACGCACGTAATTGGTAGATGTTTTGGCAGCTCTTGAATCCCACTGAGGCACCGAGTTTTTCGTAGTTGGGTCAATACGTATTTGGAAAAATAATAAACGAAGCTGCGTAAAGTAGGTCTGAATTTTTTTCGCTCTTTAATACATTGCCATCTACTGTCCTCAAACTGGTGAAAGTAGTTAAGGTCTAAAAAATGTAACGACGTTTGCAGGATTGACTTAGATGTTTTCAGTGGTTTCAAGAAGGTGATATTACTTGAATGGACTTGTAATTCTGAGGAGTAGGTAGCGCAACCGTAAGCTGACTCATTAATCGCAGCACCTTGATAGTATACGCTTGAGGTCACAAAGCTCAGTATGATAATGAGACCCGAACAAGAATCCCAATGTAATCACGTTATTTGGATATGTATACCTATTTACTTTCATTCCCACTTATCGAAAAGGAGGCAGCCGAACTACGCTTCTAGTACATACTTTGTAGGAAGTAGTGTGTTTATAAAGTATTTCGATCGAGGAAAGGACGCACCATGGGTTTGCAATGAGTAAGCATTTTCTGCGCATTAGGCAACCCGTAAACCGGGTTCACTACCAGTGGATCAAGCACTAAACATTATGAGGATAGGCTTTCCCGAACATATTAGTACAAAACCGACAATTTTGTGCCATTCAATTTTTGGAGCTCTCGAAAGTTGGCAAAACTCTGTTCAATAATTGAAGGGTAGCCTTAGCCAACTTTAGTCATTACACTTTGCTGATCAAAACCAGTGCCACCTGCAATACCGTGTGTTTCCAAGGAGGCCAGTCGTTCAGTTGAACGTACCGCCCGAAACCACGGAGACAAGCAAGCCGACATACATATTTGCAATTCATACATTTCTATGTTATTTTCTATTCCGAATTCAGTGGAAATATTATATTTGTATTGTTATCTCGGTCAGACCGATTTTAGGCCTTCAGAGGGCGAATAGTAGAAAGTTGATATGAAAAGAACCAAGGAAGTAAGGAAACGAGGGTTGTACTGAATGCACAGCACTGGATCATGCTGACAAGGAAACAAAATAATTTCATGAGGTTGTCTGGCACATAAACCCAAACCAAAGCACGCCACGCTCATACTGCTCACATTACTCATACGTATATTAGCTACCGGCTCGAATAAACATTTTATACCTGTTTCCTATTAACATTCTACACATCGGTAAAATGACACTTATTGCCTACATTAAGATACATGCAACTTTCGAGTCCAGAACTAGAAACAAAATAGCATAGCAACACAATGCACGAACCAGTGACGAGGTGAATATTTGTGATTAATGTTTAAATATTCAGTGAAACACGCCCTAAAGCAATAAGACTATTGCCTCTAAGCTAGATAGCAGAAGTGAGTCTGACGATAGGGCCTGCTAGTTATTGCATGAGATTTTGGTGGTCAAAGTGACCGATTGTGTGTTAGGCAAACAGATGCTGGAATGAGCAACTTTCTGCAAACAAGGCCATTTGATAGAAAGTAGGAGATGCATACGTGATATTCGCAGTGTTTATGGTGTTGGCTGTTGTCCCCTCGTCACTACAAGAAAGAGTAGCACTTGTATTAGTAGTAGTACAGTTAGATGTAGTGCATTGTGCTGATGAAGTAGCATATTGTTATAAAGAAGAAGGTGGAAGAATGTGGAAAGCGGGACAAGATTCTTCTATTTTGCAGCGCTTAAAAAATTGATATTGAGAATAGCGGATTTCATCGGTGATGCAGATTGGATTCTGAGTAATGAAACAGACTCACGGTTTGATCGTGTTTACGTCATCCCTAAAATGGATGAGTATGTCGATGTGATTGTTAGGAGAGCACGACGGAATATGAAAGGAAGACCCCAGTAGGAGTGCAGAGAACAACATCAGACTTCATTTTGTAATGATGGTGATCCGAGTTGAGCAAGTTTCGGAAATTTCCTAACATAGCCTTCTTTACGATAATAAATGCATTGTTTGCCAAAATGCCGATCCAGGCTGGACAAAGACAATGTTTTCTAGAGCTTGTTTGACCAGTTCTGTCACTACACCGACATAGGTGATCTGCAGATAGGGTGCTGCGGCAAAGTGAAGTGATTTTTGTGGCCGAATTTAATCAGCCTCATGAGATGCTCAATTTTGAGTGAAATCTGAGTCTCGTCGAATGTCTCCTGGAGTCTCTGGCACAAGACTTTGTATGCCAGGTTTGGTGGGATGTATGGCAATAACGACGTTTCATCAAAAGAGACCATGACTATGTCTGATTGAATCATCCGAGGTCGGGGATCTATAAGGCATTGAGCGGTTGCTTGAACTAAAGTAGACGAGTTCGTTTAGAGGCGCTTCGGTTTTGAGTACATCCACTTTGCCTACTTATAGGTGGGTACTACTCATTAGGGCAACGATTGGCTGCAGTGGGTCAGTTAGCTGATAGATTTTTGACAACTTATTGAATCAAGGTAGAGAGGTATCAGTTGCTTTCATTTCTCGCCATTCATGTTCTGTGATTACATTTTTGTGACGTTATTGTTTAGGAAGTCTATTCAGCAGTCCCGCCACTGCTCTGGCTTGTGAGGTTTATGCTGCTCTGTAAAATTTTCTGTTATCAAGAGGGTTTTTAGCTTTTTCAATATAGTCACTATGGTCGGTTCATCACATTTGAACTTTCCTTCTCAGCACACAGAATGGTAACCTTGTCCTTCTTCGTACGTTCCGTCATAGCTTTTGACTCACTCTGCGAAATGCAGAGTGCGTCATCACAATGAAGTTCAAACGTTGTTGGATGATATGTTTCTTGATGTGAATAGTTTCCGTCCTCACTAGGAAAGCCTGTAGGGCTGCAATGAAGTCGAGAGGATCGGCATCTGCATGGCGGAAACGAGTCTCATGTCGTAGCACCCGTGGCTGATGCTCTGTTGACCGCTTAGACGCGAGGCTGTGGACAAAGTTTGAGAACACCGTGCCTGCCGCTTTTGACTTGGTGAATTTCCGTTCCAAATCTTCTCTCCTTCGGGCTTGTCTGTGATGCACCAAAGCAGAGATAGTCTTCGCAAGATCCTCGGCGATAGAATCACCGAGAATACGGGCGCATTGCCTTCCCACTTTTTCGATATTAGCCTTGTATCTCTGTAAACGTCGGTGACAGTCGTCGATCAGAACTCTGGTCATCTGTTTGGAAAACCATCTCACAACGTCTTTGTTCACAGCCGAGTTCTAAGGGGGCCTTATATCTCAACCATTGTGGAGTCAGCTCGCCTTGGAGACATCTGTGCATAAACTGTAAGCTGTTCGCATACTGTCGCCTCTCGTATGGAGAATATCTTCCAGCTGCGAGCTTTAAGAAGCGTATCGGGCCCGTATAGTTCACGAATGGGGACGAAATTTCCAGCTTCGGGTGCCTTATTGATCGTCATCAACCAGCCAGCCACAACTATTTTCTGGGGCGGGAAGGGGAGGGGGTACAGCCCCCGATGCTCGAACCCGCGACCTGTTGGTTAGAAGTCAGATGCCATAGCCATTGAGCACGGGTTCGTAACTCTGTCATTCGCGATCGGGTATATCAACAATGGCAGACTGCACACAGCGTGTATGAAGGAAGGTCGCCAAATCCCAACGTGCCTGTGACCTATGAACTTATAACCGAACTGATGAATTATGTCTCTGAAGTAGGGAGGTAACATTAATTTTCGTTCGGGAAGCGACTCGCAGATAACGGACTACATAGTCAGTAGCAGAGCTAGCATTTCAAAGCCTCACATAGCAACAAGCATGTTTAAGCATTCACACAAGTATGTGCCAAATTTTCATGTAGAAAACTTCACATCTCTAATACAGTAAGGCATATAATTAACAATTTCTAAGCATCTTTCACCAATTGTATTTCGAAATCAGTAACAATGTCATACATTTCGGCGGCAACCGTCGTCCCGTTCGCACCATCGCCGGGCCTTAAGAGGACGAGTAAGAGAGGGAAGGAGGGAGGAAGGAAGAGAGTTGGTGTGCAGATCAACTTGGACTTTTGAATGACAGACTTCGTAATGAATGTCGAACCATGGAAGCAAGCTGACTAAGAACGCAAAGTGAAAACAAATTCCACACAGACCCTGAAAGGAAACGTACAAATAAGCGAGCCTGGTCGAAGCATAATGTCAGATTAAAGTATGCAGGACAGCATATCGGCTTTCGCGGCAAAGCCTCTCAGCACACTGGGCTTTTAGTCAGATTCCCTGACTAGTCGTCAGCACCCAGATGTACTGTCCTAGCTGCTAGATGATCCACTGAATATGAAACTAGGTTGGGTCAGTTGTGACATTTCGGCGACAATAGCATTTTGGACCGAAATAAGTTTCACCCCCGATATCACGTTGTGGCTGCGCAATTTAAATCTACTCCCGGACATTCTCCGGGGTTTTGTTTGTACTCTGGCTGAACAGAATGTCCTTATGCAGCATTCTTTTCGTCTTTACTTCAGATCCGAAACGTGAGTGTCTCAAAACTGCAGACGGATTAAACGGTTGTAAAGGTGCTGACGAACACTTCGATAAAAAGCAAAGGAGCAAGAATTTAGAAAGATGGGTTGTTCATCTTTTACATCACCAAATACGTTTATTCTATGGCCTACTGACTGAGAAAATTCCCGAAGTAAATCAAAAAATCTGGTTCAAGTTTCATGTATAAGCAAGGATTAGAATGGTTGCGTGACGAAAGTGTTTGCCCATAATTCTAACCATCCGAAAACGTGCAGTAGTCCATCGGGCAGCATAATCCAGAATGCCTGCTCTTTCACAAGCTCCCTTCTTGTCTTCTGCGAAATCCGCACTCCAAATCTAATGACTATAGTTAGTGTGAATTTCCCACGTCGATTTTCGGTGCCCTCAAATATTCATATATATAGTGGTAAACATGCAAAATATATTTCTGCTTGTATTCATTTGGTAGCAAATTACGCCTGCTTCAAATATTATGTTTAATTCAAGTTTATCGTTCGGTTTTAAAAAAAGACTCTAATTATGTGACTTTTCAGGACCGTGAAGTGTCCTATCATACAGCATCACATTAGCACATTCATTAATGGTGCGTATGAAGTGGACAACTCGATGATCATCTACTACTACTATGACATCTTAATAGCGTGTAGAAATACATCTTCTTCCTCACAGGGAAAACATACAGCTTGTAGTCTGGTAAATATGCATGCGAGTGTAATGGCAAGCGGGGTTCAAAATAATTCGGAATTGGAGAACTTGTTTGAAGCCAAATGACAGCTTCCTTCAGGCAGACAATTTGGAGAAGGCGCAGTTTGCTACCAAAGGATTACAGCGAATAATATTCTCAGAAATGTCGTAACAAAGGACTTTGGTGTTCCAAGTCGCCAATGATATGTTGGGGCAAACCCATGCCGGAAATTACAACCCCGCGCAAACAAGATCATTTTGTAGATATTAGGAGATGCACAGACCATACTGCCCAACTGTGAAAAGGTCAGCGCCTCGGCGGAATTCAAACCAACTTCGGTGATCCTGCTTGGGCAGTCAGCTTACTGTGTCAGATTTGGTGGATTCCAAACGTCCGGTGGGGCCTCCTAGGTCAGGCAGCTAGAGCGTTGGCTGCACTAAAGCTTCCGCTTGCTGTCGTGGGTTTGAATTCCACCGAGACACCGCGTTTTTCGCAAATGCGTAAATAGGAGTTATTAAAAATCTACTAAAACAAACATTAAATGCATACGTGTTATCCGCTGGGACTGTTGTGTCGGTTGTAGCCTGTTCAGTACTACAAGGAGAAGGAATTTGTAACTTTCTACAAACAGGGCCATTTCGTAGTAAGTGGGAGATGCATACCTGTTATTCGCGGTGGTTGTCGTGTCGGTTGAAGCCTCTTCAACACTACAAAGAAAATTAGTAGTGGCATATCGCATTTATGAGAAAGCATACTGCTAGAAAGAAGAACGTAATTGAATGTGGCTGGCAAGACAAAATTTCCTGATTCTGATGCAATTAAAAAATTGATCTTGCAGATAATATTAAAGAAATCAGTGATGCAGACTGGAAGTCGAGCTTTGAAACAGACTCACGGTGTGGCCGTGTCTACATTATCTCTGAAATCGATAAGTCCATCGATGTGATTACTGTGAGAGTACTAGTGCATTAAAAAGGGAGACCCTGCCTTGAGTGCAGAGAACATCATCAGATGTTATTAGCAGAAACAAGCAAATGTCAGCTGATGTGCCATCATTCGTCCGTTACAGTGCCTTCCAAACGCCAACAATGCCCTAATGATGAGAGCTTGAATGGCCATATTTTCCTCTATTCTCCAAAGTCGTATTTGGACGCTACAATTTGTATCCGGCTTCGCAGTCACATCGGTAGCAACAAAGTCTTGCCGATTAGCATGGCGAGAGGTTTTATAAAATTGTCTTTGCATGCACGACAAGAGTTTCTAGATTTCGAGGCAATTTAAAGTGACACGGTACTGCAGATAAGGTCTATGAGAGGATGTGGTTGTATACAGACTGAACAGAATGTGGTTAGGCAGCCTTCGTGACGGGCACTCATTCACATAGGAAGTGCAAGGGACAAGGACATGAAAATGGAAGATCTGAGAAAAAAGGTTGCTAAGAAAACGTCGAAAGAAAACAGGCTTGGATAAGAGCCACAAGGCGTGGCCGATCTCATGAAATGTCGGCCAAAATTCTGGAATGCGTTTCCGATTAGGAAGGATTACTTAAGTGGGGTTGTTATACTGATTATCATGCAGCCTAATCCTGTAACATTTTGCAATCGCCAGGATGTCGGCTTTTGAATGCATGTCTTTTTGACCTCCTGCAAAAACCACAGTCGGTAAAAATGACTACTTAACTAGCATGCATTTTTCCCATTGATTTTCGGTGGTCTTATAGATTTAAATATATTTTATGGAGAACATGCACAAAAATATCCCTTCTCCTGCTCATTTGATAGGAAATCACATTGTCTTCATATTCTATGCCCGAAGAAAGTGCATATTTTAATTTTAAAAAAGTTTCCGAATTCCCGAATAATTTCCAGCCTGATCTGCCATTGTACCAGCGTTTAGCAATTTCAGTCTACAAGGCGCATGTTTTCCGCGTATGGAAAATTATATATTCCTCTACGCCTTTAAGAAGATGCCACATAGAGTTCGTGAAATTTTGCAATGAATCCGGACTGTGCTGTGCATTTTACAAGGAGCATTAGTAAACGGACATGTGCGGTCTGGCATGCATGGATATCGCACGGTCTTGAAAATCTCATAATTAAAAACTTGTTTAAAACCAAAATATACACTTTCTTTGGGCATAAAATATGAAGACAATGTGATTTCCTATCAAATGAGCAGGAGAATGCATATTTTTGTGCATGTTAAGTAGTCATTTTACCGACTGTGGTTTCTGCAGGAGGTCAGAAAGACATACATTCAAAAGCCGACATCCTGGCAATTCCGAAATGTTATAGGGTTACGCTGCAAGATAATCAGTATAACAACCCCACTTAAGTAATCCTTCCTAATCGGAAACTCATTCCAGAATTTTGGCCGACATTTCATGAAATCGGTCACACACTGTACATCTTCCCACTTTCCAATACGTCACTCTTTGTAGCCCTTAAACTGATAAATTGCAGTTTCATCCATGCTGAAATTTGATCGAAAATATCCAATGCAACTTCCGTTGGCGAGTTGACTGAAGTGACTCCTGCAGCATCACATTTATCTTGCTTGTTACAAATGCCTCAATGTCTGGGCCACAAATAACTGCTCATTTCCAAGAATGCACCTCCAATTTTCAAACTTCGTCAATAAACTGCATATCGACCTAAGCGAGCATTTCGTTTATCTTCATTGCGGTCGCACTTTTACCACGCTTGAAAACCAAAAACGACAGATGGCATATATTGTAGAGGTGGATTTTCACTGAATGCAGCGACAGGAGTCCGAATCCATTCGTGCCGCAGCCAACCAGCTCAGCAGATTAAACTGTTCTCTTTACTTTCAGGTAGAACTACTACTTAAGTGAGCTTTCAATTCTGAAGAGCATAAACAAGAACCGTATGTTGCCAATAGAAGCGAAGAGACGAGTTCCAGTAGTAGTCGTTAAGAAGGAGACAGCGATGGTGTCTCCTGCTTCACAACCGTAAGTTGATTCACCAATGGCGTTAACTTGCCATATAACTGGACCACTTTCCAGATGCATGCGAAGATGAAGTCGGGGAGATATGACTCTTGCAGTTTTGTGTGACTTACATGACTGTCAATGTTCCTCGCAATCTGTGATCCTCTTTCCTATGGTCAGACCTCACCTTTTGTGCAACCTTTATGGGAAACTGTGTGTCCATAGGATATTACGCGTCAGTGAAAAGCAGGCTGCGCTTTTACGAGGGTTTGCTACTTCCTGTGCACTTTAGATGCAACCTGTGTTAACACACGCCCGCGATTTCCAATAATATTTTGCATACTCCTCCTAACCGCATCTCAATTAGTCTTTGCGCCCACGTGAAGGGACATCCTTGTGCACACGAACTGACTGTGTCTGATCTGGTTGGTTCTCTACGCCCCAAATGGAGCACTAGTTGACTCACAAATAATGCACTGCAAAGGAAGAACAGTTTACATCCCAAAGTTGCGCATTTGGTTTAACAATTGACACCAAAGTGTGGCTGATCCTCATGCAGTAAACTTAACTTGACTGAACGTCAACAGAATCGAAGAGACGGGTCCCAGGAAGTAGTCGGAAAGGAGGAGATACGACCGTTGGAACCAGACCTTTGTTTGCCTGACATTTCGTATTCCTGCTCGAACCTATCATCAGAGACAACAAATACCACCGCAAGAAACCTTGAGAGTTGTTCATTGGAGCTGATGCATTTACGGGCAAAGCAACTACGTCGGAGGAACCGGAAAACTGCTTCGAACGCCAATGGCGAATATGCGGCAGCTCTCAACTTGCGGCTCATTCGACGAGGCCGGAATTCTCATTAGAGGTGACAAACGCGTGAGCCGTGTGCTGCTTGAATCATGGTTCACTGACCCTAAATCTATTAACAAGTACAATGACCTGCTCCTTCCATATTCCATGCTGAGACTCGGATTAGGAAAAGTAACTATGCTAACAGCAAAGAGGCGAACAATGTCCGCTGCGCCAGGGTCAACGAGCCAGATGGTCCAGCAATCATCACACACAAACATCCAACACACGTGATGAAATCGCAACGGCTGACGACTTGAATGTCGGCCACGGAATAATCATCACACCAAGTACAAAAATCTCTGATGAAGGGGGACGGAGGCGGGAATTTCCTTAGGTATACAGTAGCATGGTGAGCGCATTCTATAAATATTACAGCCCCGTGTGCATAAACTACCCGCATCTGTTTTTGTCTTTAGTGACGGGCTCTAGCAGGAATCCGAAACGTCAGGCGAATAAATCTTTTGTCCCGACGATCGTGACTTCCTGTTCACGACTGTTTCTTGGAACCAGTCTCATAGCTTCTATTGGAAAATTCCTAAATGTTTTTTTACCAATTGAATTTCGAAATCAGTAGCAAGGTCATACTTGTCTCCGGCGTCCGTCGTCCCGTTCGCACCATCTCCGTGCCTTATGAGTACCGGGTAAAAGAGGGAAGGAAGGAGTTTGCATGCAGACCAAGGTGGGCTTTGGAATGACCGAATTCGTAATAAATGCAGAAACATGGGAGCAAGCTGATTCCGAATACAAGATGTCAGTAAATATCATACAGGCTCTGAAAGTAATCAGACTACTTAAATAAGACCGCTCGGAGAAAGATGAAAGATCTGACGAAATTTGTGGTAAAGAACACGTCAAATGAAAACAAACAAGTAATAATCTGCAAGTGCAAGCTCTAGAGCACCACAATTTCCAGTATGTTGATACGTATAGCATTCCAGCCGATGTATTTCACAGATTGAGGTGAAAATTCGAGTTCCAGATGCATGTGTAGGTGAAGTAGAAGACGGGTCAAGCACCGGACCAATTTGCTTATTGTGGGAACTCGTGTAGGATTCCATAATCAGAGAAAATAACAATAACAGAGTAAACGACAATAATATATAGCTCTAACCAATCATCAGTCGATGACGCAAATGGAATATGAATGCGCGGCTATCAATATAACGGGGCACGGTAGATACATTGTTTGCTGACTTTTCACTCAAGACCCAGGCTTCAACCTATTTCTCAGAATTTATCGTTTCCGACGTGGACAGTTATTCCGGTGACTGCGAAGTCGGCCGCATGTGGTTTTGTAGCCTCACTTGAAGTAAACGAACACCGGTCATCTGTAATAGGGACCGGTGATAGTAGGGTTTTACAGGTGGCTTGAGGGGACGCACAGGGGACGAGGTCAGGTAGTTGAATGCAAAAGAAAAGCTATTGGGAGCGCACGGTTGTACTTTCATTGGTTGAGAAATAGTTGCCCTAACCCCTAACACTAACACTAACACCTAGCTATAACCGCTAACACTAACTTTTAAAACTGACCATAATTCTGACCCCAAACCATAACCCCCGACCCTAAACCCAACAGTATTTTATTCATCAGGAGGGGCTAACAAACCATATCTTACCGCGAAGCCAAACTATTGGACTATGTCGTAGTTGTAGAGAGCCACATGCAGTGATTCCTCGTCACGTCAAAGAGCCAGCAGACGTTGCGTGAGATAGGATATTAATTCCTCATGTCGCACATTGGATCGCAACCGGCCTTTACTTTTCACAACCCTGCAACACATGATGCGTATAAACCGGTGTGCAATTCCAACACCTAGTTTCACAGCAATGCGCTCGGTAGATTCTAAAATGACCATAATGTATGGCATAGAGTACCATATTCTTGGTGGTGATGCCTATGAGTCCTCTGGGTCGACTGCGAAGGCAACAACTTGTAAATGCCTTTGGAAAGCCATTCAGCATAAAGCGGCCGCGAACATGACGGCACTAAAGTGTCCTATCCTCCAGTTTGCTGCTATAAATCCACATCGGACTGCAGAGCGGATTTCACGCAACCTCGTTATTGAGTCAACGAATGTTTGTCACCCGCGAGTCTGCCGCTGACATCTCCATGGGGCTTGGGTCTCCAGGGCTCTCGATTGTTGCAAAAATATGTAAAGTATTGAAGAAGGCTTGTCATTTCGTCCAGTAAAACCAGGACATCTTACAGTGTTACATGCTACAAATGCGGCCTCTGGTTCAGTTGACCTTACATGTGAATGCCGCGAAGAGTAGTTTGTTATGTACTACAGTAAGGCATGCAAGTTACAATTGTTAGGCGCCTTTCAGCAATTGAATTTCGAAATCAGTAGCAATATCGTACTTGTCTCCGGCGTCCGCCGTCCCGTTCGTACCATCTTCGCAACTTATGAGGTCGAGTAATAGAAGTAACGAGGGAGGGAGAGAGTTGATGTGAAGATCAAGTTGTACTTTTGAATGACAAAATTCGTAATAAATGCGCGACATGGTAGCCAGCTGACCAAGAACATAAAACTGAAATGAATTTCCCTTGTGGCGATTCGGTTGGGCTATCATGTTTGAGGGAACTAAGCTCCACTTCCACTAACCCCAACCCCCACCACATACTCAGACTTCTTACTCCAAGGACATGCATGCACTGGGCAATTTAAGCCTACTCATCTCCTCAGCCATTCATATGTGGCCTAAGCAGGAATTATTCGGTACAATCCTGCTCACCTGCATTCCGTCAACTTCAGTCGAATAATAGCGTAGCATGCCCATTCTGCAAACTGTGCAATTCCACCTCGCTTTCGAATCAGCATACCCTGGTGGAGGGCCACAAATGCCTTCAGGCAGAATATCACAGTAGCAGTGTTGTTCTTTTCTGGGAGGCAAATAGTCCACAACCCACGATGGCCTGCGTACCACCGTTCACCTACGTGTTCAAATCTTCCAGGTGGAGAGCACTTCCTATTCATTCAGATGATATAGAATTGGATGAACTTGGATTTAGACAGCGTGTAGGAAGAGAGCTCGCCCAAATTCAAGCCGCCAAGCCCGTAGCACAAAACTGGAGGAATTGCTTATTCCCGTCGCTATCCACCAATAGGATGCAGAATTGGAAGAGGAATGAATTCTCATGGTTAATGATTAAATATCCCCATTTCCTACCTACTTACATATCTGACTTCTAAATTGCTGGACATATTTTAATTCAATGAAACTTACCCTAAACCAATAAGACTCTTTCCTCTAAGCTACATGGCAGTAGTGAGTCTGGCGGTAATGAATTGCATCGATAGAGCCTGCTAGATATCGCTAACAAATGCCTCAATGTCTGGGCCACAAATGAATGCTCATTTCCAGGAATGCACCTCCAATTTTCAAACCTCGTCAACAAACTGCACTTCGACCTAAGCGAGCATTCCGCATGTGTTCGCAGTAGTCGCACTTTTACCACACCTGAAAACTCAAAATGACAGATGGCATATATTCTAGAGGTGGATTTTCATTGAATGAAGCGACTGGAGTCCGAATCCATTCGTGCTGCAGCCAACCAGCTTAGCAGATTAAACTGTTCTCTTGCTTTCCGGTAGAACTACTACTTGAGGGAGCTTTCAATTCTGAAGAGCATAAACAAGAACCGTATGTTGCCAATAGAAGCAAAGAGTTCCACTAGCGGTCGTTAAGAAGGAGACAACGATGGTGTCTTCTGCTTCACAACCGTAAGTTGATTCACCAATGGCAACAAATTGCTATATAACTGGGCCACTTTCCAGATGCATGCGAAGGTGAAGTCGGGAAGATATGACTCTTGCAGTTTTGTGTGACTCACATGACTGTCAATGTGTCTCGCAATCTGTGATCCTCTTTCCTATGGGGAATGCGGTCAGGCCTCACCTTTTGTGCAACCTTTATGGGAAACTGTGTCCATAGAATATTGCGCATCGGTGAAAAGCAGGCTGCGCTTTCACGAGGGTTTGCTACTTCCTGTGCACTTTAGATGCAACCTGTGTTAACACACGCCCGCGATTTCCAATAATATTTTACATACTCCTCCTAACCGCATCTCAATTAGTCTTCGCGCCCACGTGAAGGGACATCCTTGTGCACACGAACTGACTGTGTCTGATCTGGTTGGTTCTCTACGCCCCAAATGGAGCACTAGTTGACTCACAAATAATGCACTGCAAAGGAAGAACAGTTTACATCCCAAAGTTGCGCATTTGGTTTAACAATTGACACCAAAGTGTGGCTGATCTTCATGCAGTAAACTTAACTTGACTGAACGTCAACAGAATCGAAGAGACGGGTCCCAGGAAGTAGTCGGAAAGGAGGAGATACGACCGTTGGAACCAGAGCTTTATTTGCCTGACGTTTCGTATTCCTGCTCGAACCTATCATCAGGGACAACAACTACCACTGCAAGACACCTCGGGAGTTGTTCATCTGAGCTGGTGCATTTACGGGCAAAACAACTACGTCGGAGGAACCGGAAGACTGTTCCAAACGCGAATGGCGAACATGCGGGAGCAGTGAGGAGAAATGACGCCAGCTCTCAACTTATGGCTGATTCGACGAGGCCGGAATTCTCGTTAGAGGTGACAATCGCGTGTGCCGTGTATTGCTTGAGTCATGGTTCACTGGCCCCCCAATCTATTAACAAGTACAATGACCCACTCCTTCATATGCCATGCGGAGACTTAGCCTAGGCAAAGTAAGTAGCTATGGGGCAGCACAGATCGAACAATGTCCGCTGCGTCAGGGTCAGCGAGCCAGATGGTCCAGCACTCATCACACACAAACATCCAACACACGTGATGAAACTGCAACGGCTGACGACTTGAATGTCGGCCAGGGAATAATCATCACACCAAGTACAGCAATCTCTGATGAAGGGGGAGATGCGTGAATTTCCTTAGGTAAACGGTAGCATTGTGACCGCATTCTATAAATATTGCAGCCCCTTGTGCATGAACTACCCGTATCTGTTGTTGTCTTTAGTGACGGACCCTAGCAGGAATCCGAAACGTCAGGCTAATAAATCTCTTGTCCGGCGATCGTGCCTCCCTCTTCACGACTGCTTTTTGGAACCAGTCTCTTCGCTTCTATTGGAAAATTCCTAAATGTTTTTATCAATTGAATTTCGAAATCAGCAGCAATGTCATACTTGTCTCCGGCGTCCGTCGTCCCGTTTGCACCATTTCCGTGCCTTAAGAGGACGGGTAAGAGAGGGAAGGAAGGAGTTGGTATGTAGACCGAGTTGGGTTTTGGAGTGGCAGAATTCGGAATAAATGCAGAAACATGGGAACAAGTTGACTCCAAGCATAAGATATAAACAAACTTCCCACAGGCTCTGAAAGTAATCAGACTACTTCAATAAGGCTGCTCGGAGCAAGATGAAGGACCTGATAAAATTTGTGGTAAAGAACACGTCAAATGAAAACAAACAAGCAGTAATCTGCAAGTGTAAGCTCTACAGCACCCCACTTTCCAGTATGTTGATAGGCATAGCACTCCAGCCGATGTATTTCACGGATTGATGTGGAAGTTCGAGTTCCGGGTGCATGTGTAGGTAAAATAGAAGACGGGTCCAGCACGGGGTCAAGTAGCTTATTGTTCGAACTTGTGCAGGAATCCACAATCAGAGAAAATAGTAATAACGGAGCGAACGACAATAATATATAGCTCTAACCAATCATCAATCGATGACGCAGATGGAATATGAATACTCGGCGATCTATATAATGGCACACGATCGATAAACTGTTTTCAGACTTCTCACCCAAGACCCAGGCTTCAACCATTTCTCGGAATTTATTGTTTCCGACGTGGACAAATATCCTGCTGACTGCGAAGTCGGCCAGATGTGGTCTTGTAGCCCCACTTGAAGTAAACAAAACCTTGTCATCTCCAACACGAGACCGGTGGTAATAGGGTGATTATAGGTGGATCCGGGGAACGCACAGGGGACGTAGTCAAGTAGTTGTATGCAAAATGAAAAGCTATTGGGAGCGTGCGGTTGTAGTTTCAATGATTGAAAAATAGTTGCCCTAACCCCTAACCCTAACTTTTAACATTAACCATAACCCCGACCCCTAACCATAACCCCTAACACTAACCCCAACAGTATTGTGTCCATCAGGTGGGGCTAAAAAGCCACATCTTTCTGCGAAGTAAATCTAGTTAAATATGTCGTAGATGTAGAGATCCACATGCAGTGATTCGTCGTCACGTCGAACAGCCAGCTGACGTTGCGTGAGATGGGATAGCAATTCCCCAGGTTGCACCTTGGATCGCAACCGGTCTTTACTTTTCACGACCCTGCTAATCGCGATGTGTTTAGACCGGTGGGCAATTCCAACACCTAGATTCATAGCGATGCGCTCGGTAGATTCTAAACTAACCATAATATATGGAATGGAATGCCATATTCTGGGTGGTGATGCTTATGCGTACTCTGGGGTCGACTGCGTAGGCAGCGACTTCTAAATGCCATTGGATAGCCATTCAGCATAAACTGCTCGCGAACATGACGGGACTAACGTGTCCTATCCTCCAGTTTGCTGTTGTAAATCGCCTCGGACTGCATAGCAGATTTCACACAACTTCGTTAGTGAGTTTACAAATGTTCTTCACCGGTGAGTCAGCCGCTGACATCTCCATGGGGTTTGGGTCTCCAGGGCTCTTGATTATTGCAAAACGGTGTCTGTTGTTCTCATTTCCCGTCATTCATTCTCTGTTATTCCATCTTTTCGGCGTTATAATTTAGGCATTTTATTTAGCCGATCCGTCACTGCTCTGGCTTGGAAGTTTAATGATCGTCTGTAAAATTCTCTGCCATGAAGAAGAGCTTTGGATTTTCCCTTCCAGTATTCTCAGTTCATCTCAACAGTTGATCATCCCTTGTCATCTGTTTGACAAACCACCTCACAACGTCTGTGTCCACAGCCGAGTTCTAAGGGAGTCTTATATCTTAGCCATTGTGGAGTCAGCTCGCCTTGGAGACATCTGCGCAGAAAGCGAAAGCTGTGCGCATATTGCCGCCACTGGTGTGGAGAATATCTCCCAACGGCGGGCTGTCTGAAGCGCATCGGGCCCGTATATTTCATGAATGCTGACGGAATTTCGAGTTTCATGTGTATGTATACGTAGCGTAGAAGAGTGGTCCAGCACAGGAGCAGTTTGCTTATTGTTCCGAGATCTCCAACTGCTGCAGCATTCCATTGTCAGGCATTATAGCAATAACAGAACGAGCGATAGTGATATTAAGTTCTAACCCAACCATCGCTGGATGACGCAAGACTGAAGATGATTGCGCGGAAATCTGGAAGGTGATGTCAAGTTGGTAAATCGGTTATCTAGGTTGTCATCATCGTAGGTTCAGGTATCAATCAAGTTTCTAACTCTATTGTTTCCGGTGAGAACGGTTGTCTTGGTGTCTGCGAAATCAAACTAGTGACTCATTACATAGGCGTGACAGCCAATTTGCGATCATTCCTCGCTCCGTCGCACAGCCAGCCGGTGTTTGGCACGCACTCTGGCCTGTGTAGTTACAGGGAGATTTCTGACGTAGGATGGGCTAGAATTCCCGCAGGTTGCACCTTGGATTACAACCGGTCTTTACTTTTTACAACCCTGCTAAACCTGATGTGTATGTACCAGAATTGCTTATCCTCGTCGCCATCCAAGAGGATGCAGAAATGAAAGAGGAATGAATTCTTATGAATAATGTTTAAATACCCTCAATTGCTACTTACCCACATCTGTGACCCCTAAATTGCTACACATATTATGATTCAGGGAAACTTGCCCTAAACCACTAAGACTGTTGCCTCTAAGTTAGAAGGCAGGAGTAGTTCTGCTTGAGATTTTGGAGCTCAAAGTGGCCGATTATGTGTTAGGGCGAACAAATGCCTGAATGGGCAACTTTCTACAAACAAGGCCAGTTGGCAGTAAGAAGTGATGCATACGTGCTATTCCCAGTGATTGTGATGTTGGCTGTTGTCTGCTGATCATTACAACATAGAGCAGCATTTATAGTAGTAGTAGTAGTAGTAGTAGTAGTAGTAGTAGTAGTAGTATTAGTAGTAGTGGTAGTAGTAGTAGTAGTAGTAGTGGTAGTAGTAGTAGTAGTGGTAGTAGTAGTTGTTGTAGTAATAGTAGTAGAGACAGTAATAATTGTAATTATCGTACGGTTGGCAGCAGCGGTGAGCTGCTTTGACGTGTAAGCATTTTGTTAGGAAGGATAGTGTGATTAAGTTTAGCAAACCAGACAATATCCTTTTATTCTTCTGCGTTTTAAAAACGATCTTGAGAATAACATTAATGATACCAGTGAATCAGATTGAAAGCCGAGTTATCGAACAGACTCACGGTTTGGTTGTGTTAACAGTATCCCTGAAATGTATATGTATGTCGATGCGATTACTATAAGAATAACACTTTGCAAACAGGACCATTTGGTAGAAAATAGGACAAGCATACGTGTTATTCGCAGTGATTGTGATGTTGGCCGTTGTCTCCTCATCACTGCAAAATACAGCAGATTTGTAGCTGTAGCAGTGATGGTATTGGAATATGCCTCAGTAGAATTGTATATATATACAGATTTATTTGATGTAGTTGTAATAGGAGTAGTCGCAGACGAATTCTTAGTGGCAGCAGTGGTAGTAGTAGTGCTGGCTATGCTAATGTTAGTAATAAAACTGCACTGCACGGTCGAGTAAGCATTATGGTAAGAAGGATATCGTGGTTGATCGAGACAAACTAGACGAAATTCTCTATTTATCATTCAATTAAAAAATGATCTTGAGGTTATTATTTATGATATCAGTGAGTCCGTATGAAAGCCGACTAATTGGACACTCACGGTTTGGTAGTGTTAACATAATCCCTGAAATGCATAAGTACGTCGATGTAATTGCTAACATTGATATATTATTCCGAAAATGGAACGATGGCATATTAAGTTGTGCCCTAGTGTATTATAACCTCCCCTTGCTCTTCTGGGTTTGAATCCTATCGAGTCGCCGCGTTTTTCGCAGTTAAATAAGATAAATTATTCAAAATCTTCCAAAGCAAACATTAAAATCATACGTGTTATTCGCTGGGACTGGTGCGTCGAATGTAGCTTCTTCAGTACTACAAGGCGAAGGAAATGGTTGTGGTAATGGGAGAAGTAGAATTAGTAGCAAAAGTAGCAGTACTGGTAGTCGTAGTGGTATCAGTAGCAGAAGTAGTAGTAGTGGTAGTAGTAGTAGTAGTAGTAGTAGTAGAAGTCGTAGTAGTAGTAGTAGTAGTCATAGGATTAATAGTAATAGTAGTAAGAATACGATGGCATGTAGAATGGAGACACTGCCAGAAGTACAGAGAACGTCATCAGGCGTTATTTTAGTGCGGTTAGCAGAAGCCAGCAATTGTCAGCTCATGTTCCAACAGTCGTCCATTGCAGTGCCTTCAAATCGCCAACAGTGTCTCATTGAGGCTAACTCGAAGGACCACGTTTCCTTCCATTGTTCAAAGCTATATTGGGATGCTGCAGTTTGTATTTGGTCTCGACATCAAACATGCCCATAGGTGAGTCCAACGTTTGGCCGACTGGCAGTAGTTTTAGAGGAGGAGTAAGTAGAAGATCGCCTTGATGAGTAAGCTGACTTAAAAGCCGGCATTGCTGTGTAAATTATACATCTTAGCGAGATTAAATATTGTACCGATTAATACGGATACATTCGAGTAGAAAAAACACATCCACACTTTCAGTTAAAGCAACACGCGACAGTGTTTACGTTATCTCTGAAATGGATAAGTATGTCGATGTGATCACTGTAGGAGTACGATGGCGTGTAAAAAGTAGACCTCGCTGTAAGTGTAGAGAACATTTTCAGGCAGTCTGTCGACTACTACAAACCGCCAGAGTAGGCATAGGCCATCGACCTCAGGCAACAGTTCGACGCCGTCTGATGCAACCTAAGTACCCAATTTTCACCCGCTGAAACCCCAGCAGTCATCTACAAAATAAATTGTAATGAGGAGCACTGCCACTAGGTGGGAGAATCTGGATGGTAATTGCTGACTCGCCTGCAAGAGCACAACTCGGCCTCTCGGTGGTTAGAACCTAACTCTCAACTAGCAACGCACGTTGAAGAAACTGGGCATAAATTCGATCTCCAGCGAGCTACCATCCTAGGCCGTGGAAACACAGAAACAGAACGGCTAACTTTCGAGGTGTGATTCTCACTCCATCAACATGGGTCTGGACCTTCCTTCAGCTTACAAAGTCGTACGTCATCACAATCGTAAGGCTCTGGACCAAACAACCACACCGGACTTAAGAAGGTCATACGGAGACAGTCCAACGGCGAGTTTGCATTGTGAGGAAGAGCAAGAACCGCCAGAACGATCAGCCGACAAAAAGTTCAATCACCTCCCCCCGAATGAGCGGTGACTCACGAAACACGCAGACAAAACGCCCGTCAACCATCCTCCTAGAAGCGATGGCAACGAGAGGAGAAAAATCGATCAGCACGAGGCCGATCAACGTGGCATGCGAAATGGGCTTTCTGGTCGACTAAGTGCAATTTACGCTTTGACAATGCAGATCTGACCAAGCTCTTCGAAATGTCACCATCTAAATAAACCCGTTCCGATGAGTCCATCTTCTTCAAATCATCAACCCATAGCACTCAAATTTACAAATCTGAGTTCCAGTAGTAATAGTACTACTAGTGGAAGTAATAGTACTAATATTGGCAGTAGCAGTAGGAGTAGTAGTCGTAGTAGTTGTAGTAGTAGAAGTAGCAGTAGTGTGGCATTGCATTACACAGACGAGTTAGTACATTCTTATAAAGAAGATTGTGGATGAAGGTGGCAAGTGGGACAAGGTTATTATATTCTGTAGAGCTTAGAAAGATGATATTGTGAATACTGAATTTTATCAGCAATGCAAATTTAATGAGGGCTATGAAACAGACTCATAGATTGGTCATATTATCGTTATCCCTGAAATGGATAAGTATGTCGATGGGATTGCTGAAAGAGTTCAATGGCATGTAAAAGAGAGACCCTGCTCTTATTGCAGAGACCTGCACCAGACGTTATTAGGCCGTGGTTAGCAAAAACCAGCTATTGTCGGTGTATGTGCCAGCAGTCTTCCGTTGCAGGGTTTTCCAATCGCCAGAAAAGACCCAATGCTGTTGGCGCACTGAATTTACCATGAGAATAGCATTAATAATATCAGTGAGTCAGTTTGAAATCCGACTTTCTTGACAGAATCTCGGTTTGGTTGTGTTAATGTTATTCCTGAAATGGATAAGTATGTCGATGGGATTACTATAAGGACACGATGGTAGGTTCCGTTCTGCCTGGCATTCTCTCTCAATCCCCACGGACAGCCTCACGTCAGCACGTATTATGGGCGGAATAGCATAACCGACAAAGACAAGGGAGACCGTAGTGGCCATTTCTGTCCTGTTAACTGTCATCAGCCAGTCACGCCGAGTTCCGATGTGCCCAAATCTCGAGGCTGGAACGAACAGCCTGTTGTTTAGAAGTCCAACGCCCTAACTATTGAACTACAGGCTCGCTGTCATGTCAGTTGTGATCGGGCATATTAACAATGACAGATGTTAGACAGCATATATGAAGAAAAGTCGCTTAAAGCCAACATGCATTCGACACACATTAATTCCCTATCCCTATGAACTTTTAACTGAACACCAGGATTGGGTTTCTGAGTCAAAAAATTATCAAAGTAGGTTTGTAATATTCATTATCGCGCAGCATAGTCCAAAGTTGTATCAGTCACGCCAGAATGCCTGATTTTTAACCAGCTCCCTTCTTGCCTTCTGCAAAATCCGCACTCCAGATCTAATGACTACATTTAGTGTGAATTTTTCACGTTCATTTTCGATGCCCTCAAATACTCAAATATATAATATGAGAGACATGCAAAATATATTCCTGTTACTATTCACTCGGTAGCACATTACGCCTGCGTCAACTATTCTATTTCATTCAAGTTTACAGTTCGGTTTAAAAAAGACTCTAATTATGAGACTTTTCTGGACCGTTAAATGTCTAATCATACAGCTTCACATTAGTACTTTCATTAATGGTCCATATGAGGTGGACAACTAGGTCATCATCCACTATGAAATTTCATGTGCTGTCTATGATAACGCCCTAATAGCGTGTAGAAATATATCTTCTTCCTTATAGGGATAACTTACAGCTTTTAGTCTGGTAAATACACATGTGAGTGTAATAGCAGGCGGAGTTCAAAACAATTTGGAAATAGAGAACTTATTTAATGCCAAATGACAGCTACCCTCAGGCCGACAATTCGGAGATGGCGTAGTTTGTTACCGGAGGAGTACAGCGAATAATATTCTCAGAAATGTCGTAAGAAAGAATTTTGGTGCTCCAAATCGCCAAAGATATGTTGGGGCAAACCCATGCCGGAAATAACAACTCCATGCAAACAAGGTCGTTTTGAGGTTATAAGGAAATGCATACGTGTTATTCGCAGAGACTAATGTGACGATTGTAGCCTCTTGAGTACTATAAGGAGAAGAAAATGGTAGTCGTAGTAATAGTGGGAGCAGTAGTAACAGCAGTGGTTGTATTGGTATTAGACGTAGTGGGAGTACTGGTAGAAATGGTTGTGATAATATTAGTATTAGTGGTAGTGGTAGTAGTAGTAGTAGCATTAGCAGTGGTAGTAGTATTAGCAGCAGTGAAGTAGTAGAAGTAGTAGTAGTAGTAGTAGTAGTAGTAGTAACAGTGAAGTAGTGGTTGTAGTATTGGTATCAGTGTCCGTCGTGGTAGTAGTAAGAGTTCGATATCGTGCAAAATGGAGGGACTGCTGCCATTGCAGAAAAACGCCAGACGCTATTTTAGTTCGGTTAGAAGAAGCCAGCAATTGATTGCCAATGTGCCCATAGTCGTCCATTGTCGTGCCTTAAAATCGCTGAAGTTTTGGCAGTACTACAACCTCCACTTGTTCGTCTGGGTTTGAATCGTATCGAGTCGCCGCGTTTTTCGTAGATAAATAAGATAAATTATTAAACATGTTCCCTAGCAAACATTAAACTCATACGTGTTATTCGCCGGGAATACTGTGTCGGATTTAGCCTCTTCGGTACTGCAAGGCGAAGGAAATGGCTGTGGTAATGAGAGAAGTAGAATTAGTAGCAAAAGTGACAGTACTGGTAGTCGTAGTGGTATCAGTAGCAGAAGTAGTAGTGGTCGTAGTAGTAGGAGTAATAGGATTAATAGTAATAGTAGTAAGAATATGATAGCATGCAGAATGGAGACACTGCCGGGAGTGCAGAGAACGTCATCAGGCGTTATTTTAGTACGGTTAGCAAAAGCCCGCAATTGTCAGCAAATGTGCCAACCGTCGTCCACTGCAGTGCCTTCCAATCGCCAACAGTGTCTCACTGAGGCTAACTCGAAGTACCACGTTTCCTTCTATTGTTCAAAGCCATATTTGGATGCTGCAATTTGTATTTGGTCTCGCTATCAAACATGCCCATAGGTGAGTCCAACGTTTGGCCGACTAGCAGTAGTTTTAGAGGAGGAGGAGGAGGAGGAGGAGGAGGAGGAGTAAGTAGAAAATCGCCTTGATGATGCTGTGTAAATTATACATCTATGGATCATGCCGTGCGAGATTAAATATTATACCGATTCATACGGATACATTCGAGTAGAACAAACACATCCACACTTCCAGTTTAAGCAACACGCGACAAGGAATAAACGATAGCATAAAAGGGGAGAAATTACCTATTTCCGTCACTTTCTAATAGGCTGCAGAAACAAATGTCAAAGAAATTTCTACGAATATAAACTCAATTTCTACCTACTCAGGCTTATGCTCTCCAAGTCCCTGATCATACATTCACTCAATAAAATTGACCAAAACAAATAAATTTGTCGCCGCTAATTATGGCGACAGGCGTCACTCTGACGATAATGAATTGCATTTGTATGGATTGTCAGATATTGCTTGAAATTTTGGTGCTCATAATGGCCGATTTTGTGTCAGGGCGAACCCGTCCAGCATGTGCAAATTTCTGTAGACAAGGCAATTTTATAGAAAGTAGGAGGTGCATACCTGTTTTTCGCGGGAATTTTTGCGTCGGTTGTAGCCTCTTCAACACTACAAAGAAAAGTAGTAGTGGTACATAGCCTTGGTGAGAAAGCATAATGTTAGAAAGGAGAACTTGTTTGAGTGTGGCAAGCGAGACAAGATTTTCTTATTATGATGCCATTAAAAATGGATCCTGAAGATAATGTTGAAGAGGTCAGTGACGCTGACGGAAAGTCGAGATTTCAAACAGACTCATGGTGTGGTCGTGTTTACGTTATCTCTGAAATGGATAAGTATGTCGATGTGACCACTGTAGGAGTACGATGGCATGTAAAAAGTAGACCTCGCTGTAAGTGTAGAGAACATTTTCAGGCAGTCTGTTGACTACTACAATCCGCCAGAGTAGGCATAGGCCATCGACCTCAGGCAACAGTTCGACGCCGTCTGATGCACCCTAAGGTCCCAGCAACCCCAGCAGTTATCTACAAAATAAATTTTAATGAGGAGCACTGCCACTAGGTGGGAGAATCTGGACGGTAATTGCTGACTCGCCTGCAAGAGCACAACTCGGCCTCTCGGTGGTTAGAACCTAACTCTCAACTAGCAACGCACGTTGAAGAAACTGGGCATAAATTCCATCTCCAGCGAGCTACCATCCTAGGCCGTGGAAACACAGAAACAGAACGGCTAACTTTCGAGGTGTGATTCTCACTCCATCAACATGGGTCTGGACCTTCCTTCAGCTTACAAAGTCGTACGTCATCACAATCGTAAGGCTCTGGACCAAACAACCACACCGGATATAAAAAGGTCATACGGAGACAGTCCAACGGCGAGTTTACATTGTGAGGAAGAACAAGAACCGCCAGACCGATCACCCGACAAAATGTTCAATCACCTCCCCCCGAATGTGCGGTGAATTACAGACAAAACGCCCGTCAACCATCCTGCGAGAGGCCGGGGCAGCGAAAGGAGAAAAATCGATCAGCACGAGGCCGATCAACGTGGCATGCGAAATGGGCTTTCTGGTCGACTAAGTGCAATTTACGCTTTGACAATGCAGATCTGACCAAGCTCTTCGAAATGTCACCATCTAAATAAACCCGTTCCGATGGGTCCATCGTCTTCAAATCATCAACCCATAGCACTCAAATTTACAAATCTGAGTTCCAGTAGTAATAGTACTACTAGTGGAAGTAATAGTACTAATATTGGCAGTAGCAGTAGGAGTAGTAGTCGTAGTAGTTGTAGTAGTAGAAGTAGCAGTAGTGTGGCATTGCATTACACAGACGAGTTAGTACATTCTTATAAAGAAGATTGTGGATGAAGGTGGCAAGTGGGACAAGGTTATTATATTCTGTAGAGCTTAGAAAGATGATATTGTGAATACTGAATTTTATCAGCAATGCAAATTTAATGAGGGCTATGAAACAGACTCATAGATTGGTCATATTATCGTTATCCCTGAAATGGATAAGTATGTCGATGGGATTGCTGAAAGAGTTCAATGGCATGTAAAAGAGAGACCCTGCTCTTATTGCAGAGACCTGCATCAGACGTTATTAGGCCGTGGTTAGCAAAAACCAGCTATTGTCGGTGTATGTGCCAGCAGTCTTCCGTTGCAGGGTTTTCCAATCGCCAGAAAAGACCCAATGCTGTTGGCGCACTGAATTTACCATGAGAATAGCATTAATAATATCAGTGAGTCAGTTTGAAATCCGACTTTCTTGACAGAATCTCGGTTTGGTTGTGTTAATGTTATTCCTGAAATGGATAAGTATGTCGATGGGATTACTATAAGGGCACGATGGTAGATTCCATGCTGCCTGGTATTCTCTCTCAATCCCCACGGACAGCCTCACGTTAGCACGTATTATGGGCGGAATAGCATAACCGACAAAGACAAGGAAGACCGTAGTGGTCATTTCTGTCCTGTTAACTGTCATCAGCCAGTCACGCCCAGTTCCGATGTGTCCAAATCTCGAGGCTGGAACGAACAGCCTGTTGTTTAGAAGTCCAACGCCCTAACTATTGAACTACAGGCTCGCTGTCATGTCAGTTGTGATCGGGCATATTAACAATGACAGATGTTAGACAGCATATATGAAGAAAAGTCGCTTAAAGCCAACATGCATTCGACACACATTAATTCCCTATCCCTATGAACTTTTAACCGAACACCAGGATTGAGTTTCTGACTCAAAAAACTATCAAAGTAGGTTTGTAATATTCATTATCGCGCAGCATAGTCCAAAGTTGTATCAGTCACGCCAGAATGCCTGATTTTTAACCAGCTCCCTTCTTGCCTTCTGCAAAATCCGCACTCCAAATTTTATGACTATAGTTAGTGTGAATTTCTCATGCTGATTTTTGATGCCCTCAAATACTCAAATATATAATATGAGAGACATGCTAAATATATTCCTGCTTCTATTTATTTGGTAGCACATTACGCCTGCGTCAACTATTCTATTTCATTCAAGTTTATAGTTCGGATTAAAAAGGACTCTAATTATGAGACTTTTCAGGACCGTGAAATGTCCAATCACACAGCATCACATTAGCATGTGTGCGCATTAAACGGACAATTAGGTCATCGTACATTACGAAATTTCATGAACATTATATGGCATCTTCTTAATAGCGTGTAAAAATGCATCTTCCTCCTTATAGCCAGAGAACACAGTTTGTAGTCTGGCAAACATGCATGCGAGTGTAATGGCAAGTGGGGTTCAAAATAATTCGGAATTGGAGAACTTGTTTAAAGCCAAATGACAGCTTCCTTCAGGCAGACAATTTGGAGAAGGCGTAGTTTGCTACCAGAGGAGTACAGCGAATAATATTCTCAGAAATGTCGTAAGAAAGAATTTTGGTGTTCCAAATCGCCAATGATATGTTAGGGCAAACCCATGCCGGAAATAACAAATTCATGCAAACAAAGTCGTTTTGAGGTTATAAGGAAATGCATACGTGTTATTCGCAGAGATTGTTGTGTCGATTGTAGCCTCTTGAGTACTATAAGGACAAGAAAATGGTAGTCGTAATAGTAGTAGGAGCAGTAGTACCAGCAGTGGTTGTATTCGTATTATTTCATGTGTTAGTGGGAGTACTAGTAGAAATTTTTGTCAAATTTATTACTAGTAATGGTTATCATGCCACTGAAGTAGTGGTATTAGTAGTGACAGTAGTGGTTGTCATATTAGTACCAGTGTCCGTAGTGGTAGTGGTAAGAGTACGATGGCGTGCAAAATGGAGGAACTGCTGGCATTGCAGAAAAAACGCCAGACGCTATTTTATTGCGGTTAGCAGAATCCAGCAACTGATAGCTAATGTGCCGACAGACGTCCACTACAGTGCCTTCCAATCGCTGGACCTTTGGCTGTACTAGAACCACCCATTGCTCTTCTGCGTTTGAATCATATCGCGGCTCCGCATTTTTCACAGTTATGTAAATATAACTTATTCAAAATCTTCCATAGCAAAGATTAAAATCATACGTGTTATTCGCTGGGACTGGTGCGTCGGATGTAGCTTTTTCAGTACTGCAAGGCGTAGGAAATGGTTGTGGTAATGGGAGAAGTAGAATAAGTAGCAAAAGTAGCAGTACTGGTAGTCGCAGTGGTAGCAGTAGCAGAAGTAGTAGTAGTAGTAGTCGTCGTAGTAGTAGTAGTAGTAATAGTATTAATAGTAATAATAGTAAGAATATGATGGCATGCAGAATGGAGGCACTGCCGGAAGTACAGAGAACGTCATCAGACGTTATTTTAGTGCGGTTAGCAAAAGCCCGCAATTGCCAGCTCATGTGCCAACCGTCGTCCATTGTCATGCCTTCCAATTGCCAACAGTGCCTCACTGAGGCTAACTCAACGGACCACATTTATTTCCATTGTCCAAAGCCATATTTGGATGCTGCAATTTGTATTTGGTCTCGCCACCAATCATGCCAATAGGTGAGTCCAAAGTCTGGTCGACTAGCAGTAGTTTTAAAGGAAGAATAAGTAGAAAATCGCCTTGATGAGTAAGCTGACTTAAAAGCCGACATTGCTGTGTACATTATACATCTATGGATTATGCCGTGCGAGATTAAATATTGTACCGATTCATGCGGGTACATTCGAGTAGAACAAACACATTCACACTTTCAGGTAAAGCAACACGCGACAGTGAATAAACGATACCATAAAAGGGGAGAAATTACCTATCTCCGTCACTTTCCAATAGGGTGCAGAAACAAATGTCAAAGAAATTTCTATGAATATAAACTCAATTTATACCTACTCAGACTTATGCTCTCCAAGTCCCTGATCATACATCGACTCAATAAAACTTGGCCAAAGCAAATAAGTGCTGATTATGGCGACAGGCGTGACTCTGAGGGTAATGAATTGCATTTGTATGGATTTTCGGATATTGCATGGGATATATTTGCTCAAAGTGGCCGATAATGTGTTAGGGCGAACGCGTCCAGCATCTGCAAATTTCTTCAGGCGAGAACATTTTGTAGTAAGTCGGAAGTGCATACGTGTTTTTCGCGGGAATTTTTGCCTCGGTTGTAGCCTCTTCAACACTACAAAGAAAAGTAGTAGTGGTACATTGCCTTGGTGAGAAAGCATGCTGTTAGAAAGGAGAACTTGTTTGAGTGCGGCAAGCGAGACAAGATTTTCTTATTATGATGCCATTAAAAATGGATTCTGAATATAATGTTGAAGAGGCCAGTGACGCTGACGGAAAGTCGAGATTTGAATCAGACTCATGGTGTGGTCGGTTTTACGTTATCTCTGAAATGGATAAGTATGTCGATGTGATCACTGTAGGAGTACGATGGCATGTGAAAAGTAGACCTCACTGTAAATGCAGAGAACATTTTCAGGCAGTCTGTCGACTACTACAATCCGCCAGAGTAGGCATAGCCCATCGACCTCAGGCAACAGTTCGACGCCGTCTGATGCAACCTAAGAACCCAGCAACCCCAGCAGTCATCTACAAAATAAATTTTAATGATGAGCACTGCCTCTAGGTGGGAGAATCTGGAGGGTAATTGCAAACTCGCCTACAAGAGCACAAATCGGCCTCTCGGTGTTTAGAACCTAACTCTCAACTAGCAATGCACGTTGAAGAAACTGGGCATTAATTCGATCTCCAGCGAGCTACCATCCTAGGCCGTGACAACACAGAAACAGAACGTCTTACTTTCGAGGTGTGATTCTCACTCCATCAACAGGGGTCTGGACCTTCCTTCAGCTTACAAAGTCCTACGTCATCACAATCGTAAGGTTCTGGACCAAACAACCACACCGGATATAAGAAGGTCATACGGAGTCAGTCCAACGGCGAGTTTACTTTGTGAGGAAGAACAAGAACCGCCAGACCGATCACCCGACAAAAAGTTCACTCACCTTCCCCCGAATGAGCTGTGACTCACAAAGCACGCAGACAAATCGCCCGTCAATCATCCTCCTAGAGGCCGGGGCAGCGAGAGGAGAAAAATCGACCAGCACGAGGCCGATCACCGTGAAATGCGAAATGGACTTCCTGGTCAGCTAAGTGCATTTTACGCTTTGACAATGCAGATCTGATCAAGCTCTTCGAAATGTCAACATCTAATTAAACCCGTACCGATGAGTCCATCTTCTTCAAATCATCAACCCATATCACTCAACTTTACAAATCTGAGTTCCAGTAGTAATATTACTACTAGTGAATGTAATAGTACTAATATTGGCAGTAGCAGTGGGAGTAGTAGTCGTAGTAGTTGTAGTAGTAGAAGTAGTAGTAGTAGTAGTAGTAGTGTGGCATTGCATTACACAGACGAGTTAGTACATTCTTATAAAGAAGATTGTGGATGAAGGTGGCAAGTGGGACAAGGTTATTATATTCTGTAGAGCTTAGAAAGATGATATTGTGAATACTGAAATTTATCAGCGATGCAAATTTAATGAGGGCTATGAACCAGACTCATAGATTGGTCATATTATCGTTATCCCTGAAATGGATAATTATGTCGATGTGATTGCTGAAATAGTACGATGGCATACTAAGGGAGACTCTGCTGTGAGTGCATAGAACCCAATCAGGCGTTATTATATTGTGGCTAGCAGAAGCCAGCTATTGTCGGCGCATGTGCCAGCAGTCTTCCGTTGCAGGGTTTTCCAATCGCCAGAAACGACCCAATGCTCTTAGCCCACTGAATTTACCATGAGAATAACATTAATAATATCAGTAAGTCAGTTTGAAATCCGACTTTCTTGACAGAATCTCGGTTTGGTTGTGTTAATGTTATTCCTGAAATGGATAAGTATGTCGATGGGATTACTATAAGGACACGATAGTACGTTCCGTTCTGCCTGGCATTCTCTCTCAGTCCCTACGGACAGCCTCACGTCAGCACGTATTATGGGCGGAATAGCATAACCGACAAAGACAAGGGAGACCGTAATGGCCATTTCTGTCCTGTTAACTGTCATCAGCCAGTCACGCCCAGTTCCGAGGTGTCTAAATCTCGAGGCTGGAACGAACAGCCTGTTGTTTAGAAGTCCAGCGCCATAACATTTGAACTACAGGCTCGATGTCATGTCGGTCGCGATCGGGCATATTAACAATGGCAGACAGCATATATGAGGGAAAGTCGCTTAAAGCCAACATGCATTTGACACACATTAATTCCCTATCCCTATGAACTTTTAACCGAACACCAGGATTGGGTTTCTGACTCAAAAACCTATCAAAGTAGGTTTGTAATATTCATTATCGCGCAGCATAGTCCAAAGTTGTATCAGTCACGCCAGAATGCCTGATTTTTAACCAGCTCCCTTCTTGCCTTCTGCAAAATCCGCATTCCAAATTTTATGACTATAGTTAGTGTGAATTTCTCATGCTGATTTTTGATGCCCTCAAATACTCAAATATATAATATGAGAGACATGCTAAATATATTCCTGCTTCTATTTATTTGGTAGCACATTACGCCTGCGTCAACTATTCTATTTAATTCAAGTTTATAGTTCGGATTAAAAAGGACTCTAATTATGAGACTTTTCAGGACCATGAAATGTCTGATCATACAGCTTCACATTAGTACGTTCATTAATGGTCCATATGAGGTGGACAACTAAGTCATCATCCACTACGAAATTTCATGTGCTGTCTATGATAACGCCTTAATAGCGTGTAGAAATATATCTTCTTCCTTATAGGGATAACTTACAGCTTGTAGTCTGGTAAATACGCATGCGAGTGTAATAGCAAGCGGGGTTCAAAACAATTTGGAAATAGATAACTTATTTAATGCCAAATAACAGCTACCTTCAGGCAGACAATTTGGAGAAGGCGTAGTTTGTTACCAGAGGTGTACAGCAAATAATTTTCTCAGACATGTCTTAACAAAGGACTTTGGTGCTCCAAGTCGTCAATGATGTGTTAGGTCAAACCCATGTCAGGACTTGCAACTCTACTCAAACAAGGCCATTTTGTAGTTATTAGGAGATGCACAGATCATACTGACCTAGCTGTGACAAACTCAGCACTTCGGTCGGATTTGAACCCACTTTGGAGATGCTACTTGGGCACTGAGCTTACTGTGTCAGATTTGGTGGCTTCCAAATGTCCGGTGCGGCCTCGTAGCTCAGGTGACTAGAGGTTTGGGCGCCCTAAAGCTTCCCCTAGATGTCGGGGGGTTTGGATTTCACCGAGGCACCGCGTTTTTCGCAAATTAGTGAACACGAATTATTAAAAATCCATTAAAACAAACATTTAATGCATACATGTTATTTGCTGGGACTGTTGTGTCAGTTGTAGCCTGTTCAGTACTGCAAGGAGAAGGAATTTGTAACGTTCTACAAACAAGGCCATTTCTAGTAATTGGGAGATGCATACCTGTTATTCTCGGTGGTTATTGTGTCGGTTGTAGCCTCTTCAACACTGCAAGGAAAAGTAGTAGTGGCATATCGCATTGATGAGAAGGCATATTGCTAGAAATGAGGAAGTAATTGAGTGTGGAAAGCTAGATAAGATTTTCCAATTGTAATGCATTTAAAAAATTGATCTTGCAGATAATATTGAAGAAATCAGTGATGCAGACTGGAAGTCGAGCTTTGAAGCGAACATGCAAAATATATTCCTGCTTCTATTCCTTTGGTAGCACATTACGCCTGCGTCAACTATTCTATTTCATTTAAGTTTACAGTTCGGTTTTAAAGAAGACTCTAATTATGAGACTTCAGGACCGTGAAATGTCCAATGACACAGCAGCATATTAGCATTTGTGCGCATTAAACGGACAACTAGGTCATTGTCCTTTACGAAATTTCATGAAAATTATATGGCATCTTCTTAATAGCGTGTAAAAATGCATCTTCCTCCTTATAGCCATATCACAGAGCTTGTAGTCTGGCAAACATGCATGCAAGTGTAATGGCAAGTGGGGTTCAAATAAATTAGGAATTGGAGAGGTTGTTTAAAGACGAATGACAGCTGCCCTCAGGCAGACAATTCGGAGATGGCGTAGTTTGCTACCAGAGGAGTACAGCGAATAATATTCTCAGAAATGTCGTAACAAAGAATTTGTGTGCTCCAAATCGCCAATGATATGTTTGGGCAAACCCATGCCGGAAATAACAATTCCGTGCAAACAAGATCGTTTTGAGGTTATAAGGAAATGCATACGTGTTATTCGCAGAGACTGTTGTGTCGATTGTAGCCTCTTGAGTACTATAAGGACAAGAAAATGGTAGTCGTAGAAGTAGTGGGAGCAGTAGTAACTGCAGTGGCTGTATTCGTATTAGTTCAGGTCTTAGTGGGAGTACTAGTAGAAATTTTTGCAATAATATTAGTATTAGTAGTAATGATACCACCGAAGTATTGGTAGTAGTAGTAGTAGTAGTAGTAGTAGTAGTAGTAGTGACAGTAGTGGTTGTCATATTAGTACCAATGTCCGTAGTGGTAGTGGTAAGAGTACGATGGCGTGCAAAATGGAGGAACTGCTGGCATTGCAGAAAAAACGCCAGACGCTATTTTATTGCGGTTAGCAGAATCCAGCAACTGATAGCTAATGTGCCAACAGACGTCCATTGCAGTGCCTTCCAATCGCTAAACCTTTGGCTGTCCTAGAACCTCCCCTTGCTCTTCTGCGTTTGAATCATATCGCGGCTCCGCATTTTTCACAGTTATGTAAATATAACTTATTCAAAATCTTCCATACCAAACATTCAAATCATACGTATTATTCGCTGGGACTGGTGCGTCGGATGTAGCTTCTTCAGTACTGCAAGGCGAAGGAAATGGTTGTGGTAATGGGAGAAGTAGAATTAGTAGCAAAAGTAGCAGTACTGGTAGTCGTAGTGGTATCAGTAGCAGAAGTAGTAGTAGTAGTAGTAGGATTAATAGTAATAGTAGTAAGAATACGATGGCATGTAGAATAAAGACACTGCCGGAAGTGCAGAAAACGCCATCGGGCGTTATTTTAGTGCGGTTAGCAGAGGCCAAAAATTTTTAGCTCATGTGCCAACAGTCGTCCATTGCCGTGCCTTCCAATTGCCAACAGTGCCTCACTGAGGCTAACTCGAAGTACCACGTTTCCTTCTATTGTTCAAAGCCATATTGGGATGCTGCAATTTGTATTTGGTCTCGCCATCAAACATGCCCAGATGTGTGTCCAAAGTTTGGCCGACTAGCAGTAGTTTTAGAGGAAGAATCGCCTTGATAAGTAAGCTGACTTAAAAGCCGGCATTGCTGTGTAAATTATACATCTATGGATTATGCCGTGCGAGATTAAATATTGTACCGATTCATGCGGGTACATTCGAGTAGAAAAATCACATTCGCACTTCCAGTTTAAGCAACACGTGACAGCGAATAAACGATACCATAAAAGGGGAGAAATTACCTATTTCCGTCACTTTCGGCAAACTCAAACAGTCTCATTAGATGCACAATTTTGTGTTAAATTTGAGTCTCGTCTTACGTCTCCCGAATTCTCATGCGCGTGACGTTTTACGCCAGATTTTGTCTGATGGATGGCATTTAGTACGTGTCATCAAAAGAGACCATGATTTTGTCTGATTTCGTCCTCCAACCTCGGAGATGTACGAGGAATTCAGCGGTTAACGTAGCTGAAGCAATCGAATTGGCTTAGAGGCGCTTCAGTGTTGAGTACATTCACTTTGCTACCTTATAAATGCGGGCTGCCCATTGGTGCAACGATTTACTGTAGTGGATCATGTGGTACATGAATCGAAGCAAGTTTGCTCTAATTCGGCGAAATTCGTTCTCCGTAATCACATTTTGCTTTAGGTATTCTACAAACTGTTTATTCAGCCGATCCCACACCGCTCGGGCTGGGGATTTTATTTTGGTCTTACAAATTTTTTTTGGCTTTCGACCTCGTGCAGCATTCCATCATCAGAGATAATGGCAACAGCAGAACGAGCGATAATTATATAGAGTTATAACCAAACATCAAAGGATAACGCAGGACTGAAAGTGATTGCGTAAAAATTTGTAAACCAGCGCCCAGTTGATAAATCAGTTCTCTGGATTGTCAGCCTAGGCTCAGGCCTCAATCCTTTTTCGGACTCTATTGATTCCGGTGTGAGCGGTTATCTTGGTGGTGGCGAAATCAAACTAATGACACGTTACCCAGGCGTAGTTGCCAGTTACGATCCTTCGTCGCTTCGTCGCACAGCCAACTTATGCTTGTGCACGCACGCTGCAAGCATGCGTCCGCTCCGACCTCTGTAGTCACAGGGCCAGTTCTGACACGCGATGGGGCTGTAGACCCCAGATTGCACCTTGCATCGCAACCGGTCTTTACTTTTCACAACCCTGCTACACATGATGCGTATGAACCGGTGTGCAATTCCAACACCTAGCCTCACAGCAATGCGCTCGGTAGATTCTAAAACAACCCTAATGTATGGCATAGAAGGCCATATTCTTGGTGGTGTCAACTGCGTAGGCAGCGAATTGTTAATGCCCTTGGATACCTATTCAGCATATGCTGGCCGCGAACATGAAGGGATTGAAGTGCTCTATCCTCCGGTTCGCTGCTATAAATCCGCCTCGGACTGCAGAGTGATTTCAACAGAGCTTTATTGGTGAGTCAACGAATGTTTGTCACCCGCGAATCTATAGGGCTCTCGATTGTAACAAAAATATTTAAACCACTGCAGAGGGCTCCAACCCAATTCAGACTTTGTCATTTCGCCAAGTAATACCAGGATATCTTGCTGTATTACATTCTATGAAATGCGGCATCTGGTCTAGATGACCTTACGTATGAAAGCCGCGAAGAGTAGTTGGCTGTGTAATACAGTAAGTCATACAATTAACAATTCCTAAGCATCTTTCACCAAATGAATTTCGAAATCAGTAGCAATGTCATACTTTTCTCCGGCGTCCGCCGTCTTGTTCGCACCATCTTCGTGCCTTATGAGGTCGAGTAATAGAAGGAGGGAGGGAGAGAGAGATTTGGTGTGCAGGTCAAGTTGTACTTTTGAATGACAAAGTTGGTAATAAATGCGCGACATGGGAGCAAGCTGACCAAGAACATAAAATGGAAATGGATTTCAGTTGTGGCGTTTCGGTGATGCTATCATTTTTGATGGAAATAAGCCCCACTTTTTCGGAACCCACACCCCATACTCAGACTTCTTAATCCGAAGCTACGCATGCATTTGGTAATTTAAGCCTACCAATATTCTTGGACGTTCATGTGTCGAGTAAGTGCATTTTGCGCTTTGATAATGGAGAGCTGACCAAGCTTTTCGAAATCTCAGCATCTAAATAAAGCTGTTACGATGAGCCCATCTTCTTCAAATCATCAACCTCGATCTCTCGAATTTGCCAATCCGAGTTTCAGTAATATTAATACTAATAGCAGAAGTAGTAGTAGTAGTAGCAGTAATATTGGCAGAAGTAGTAGTAGGTGCATTTTATTCGTATCTGTAGTAATAGTAGCAGTAGTAGTAGTAGTAGCAGTGGTTATTTTGGTATTAGTTCAGGTGTTATTGGAAGTACTAGTAGAAATTGTTGTAGTAATATTAATATTAGTAGTAGTAATACCATTGAAGTATTGTTTGTACAATTAGTACCATTGTCCGTAGAGGTAGTGGTAAGAGTACGATGGCGTGCAAAATGGAGGAACTGCTAGTATTGCAGAAAAAACGCCAGACGCTATTTTATTGCGGTTAGCAGAAGCCGGCAACTAATTGGCCATGTGCCAACAGACGTCCATTGCAGTGCCTTCCAATCGCTGGACCTTTGGCTGTATTATAACCTCCCATTGCTCCTCTGCGTTTGAATCATACCGAGTCGCCTCGTTTTTCGCAGTTAAATAATGTAACTTATTCAAAATCTTCCATAGCAAACATTCAAATCATACGTGTTATTCGCTGGGACTGGTGCGTCGGATGTAGCTTCTTCAGTACTGCAAGGCGAAGAAAATGGTTGTGGTAATGGGAGTAGAAGAATTAGTAGCAAAAGTAGCAGTACTGGTATTCGTAATGGTAGCAGTGGCCGAAGTAGTAGTAGTAATAGGAGTAATAGTAATACTAGTAAGAATACGATGGCATGTCGAATGGAGACACCGCCGGGAGTGCAGAGGACGTCATCGGGCTTTATTTTAGTGCGGTTAGCAGAAGCACCCGTGAGTCTGACATTGACATATCCATGGGGCTGGGGCCTCCAGGGATCTCGATTGTCGCAAAAATATGTAAACCACTGCAGAGGGCTCCAACCGAATTCAAGCTTTGTCATTTTGCCAAGTATTACGTGGTAGCAATGCGGTCTCGGGCTCAGAAGGCTTTACGTATGAATGCCGCGGAGAGTGGTTGGTCGTGTAGTAGAGTAAGGCATACAATAAACAATTACTGGGTGTGTTTCACACATTGTATTTCGAAATCAGTAGCAAAGTCATACTTGTCTCCGGCGTCCGCCGTCTTGTTCGTGGGATCTCCGTGCCTTATGAGGTGGAGTCATATAAGGAAGGAAAGAGAGAGAGAATTGGTGTGCAGATCAAGTTGTACTTTTGAATGACAAACTTCGTAATAAATGCGCGACATGGGAGCAAGCTGACGAAGAACATAAAACTGAAATGAATTTCCCTTGTGGCGATTCGGTTGGGCTATCATTTTTGATGGAAATAAGCTCCGCTTCTACCAACCCCAACGCCCCACCACATACTCAGACTTCTTAATCCGAAGCGATGCATATACTGGGCAATTAAAGCCTACACATCTCCTCGAACATTCATATGTGGCCTAAGCAGGAATTATTCGGCACAATCCCGCTCACCTGCATTCCGTCAACTTCAGTCGAATAACAGAGTAGCATGCCCATTCTGCTTATTGTGCAATTCCACTTCGTTTTCGAATGAGAATACCCTAATGGAGAGCAACAAATGCCTTCAGACAGAATATCACAGTATCAGTGTTGATCTGTTACGGATGCAGACAGCCCACAACCTGCGACGGCCTGCGTACCACCGTTCACCTACGTGTTCAAATCTTCCAGGTGGAGAGCACTTCCTATTCATTCAGATGATATAGAATTGGATGAACTTGGATTTAGACAGCGTGTAGGAAGAGAGCTCGCCCAAAGTCAAGCCGCCAAGCCCGTAGCACAAAACTGGAGGAATTACTTATCTCCGTCGGTGTCCACCAACAGGATGCAGAAATGGAAGAGGAATGAATTCTTATGGACAATGTTTTATTGTCCCCAATTCCTACATACTCACAGCTGTGAACTCTAAATTGCTGAACATATTAATTTTCAGGGGAACTTGTCCTAAACAAATAAGACTTTTGCCTATAAACTAGATAGCAGAGGTGAGTCTGACGGCAAGGATTTGTATCGGTAGGGCTTGCTACTTATTGCAAGGGATTATGTTTTAGGGCAAACAAGTCCATTTGGTAGAAAGTAGGAGATGCATACGTGCTATTCGCAGTGATTGTGATGTTGGCTGTTGCCTCTTCATCACTACAAGGTAGAGTAGCACTTGTAGTAGTAGTAGTATTAGTTGTTTTAGTACTAGTAGTAATAATAGAATTTTTAGTTCTCGTACTGGTTTTAGTAATAATGCACTGCGTTGCCGAAAAACATAATGTTTTGGAATGATAACGCGATTGACTGCGGCAAACGAGACAAAATCCTTTTTTTTCTTACGCATTAAAAAAAATAATCTTGAAGATGTCACTAGTGATATCGGTGTCAGATTAAAAGCCGAGTTATTGAACAGACTCACGTTTTGTTCGTGTTAACGTTATTCCTGAAATGGAGAGGCATGTCTATGTGATCACTATACGGGAACGATGGCATGTAAAAGGGAGACCCTGTGCGAGTGCAGAGAACTGCATCAGGCAGTATTCTGCTATTCGTATTTCAGGACGTGTGGGGCTCATTTCGTCATATTCAAGCTTTCTTTGTAGTGTTTTTCTAGCTTGTGATCTCGTTTTCGCGGGAATCTAACCCTGAGCTAATAAATAACTCTTGACTTAATTTGCATTCTGTGTTTCGACTTGTTCATTTCTGACACCCTTTTTCCCCTTTTGATGCAGTGCTCGTATGATTTTATAATTTGAGAAAGCATTTCCCGTCAAAATACGAGCCATTCTCTAGTCACTGGACCGCAGTCAGAACACAATTTGTCAAAATTTGACTTGTAATTGGTAAGTTTACATTCCTGAGTTAAAAAAACTCCGTCGATACTCTCTTTTCTACTGTTGATGACAGTTTATACCAGTGAAAATTAATGCAGACAAATGAGGAATGTTTATTAACACCAAGCAGCAAATGTGAGAGATTTATTTATATGCAGCCCTCTTTTCTAGTTCTTACGCCTTAGAAGAATTGAACCGCCTGTGCACGTCTGGATTTTATATGGATAGTCAAATCCGATTTTTGAAATCGCTCGCCACCGTTTGCTCTACGTCTTCTTGGAATCCTTATTTTACTCAATATTGTCCTTTATATATCCATTTTTCCTGACTATCCTTCTGCGGCTTACTTACGTTTCGCCGGTTTTCGGTTTTCATATATTTGTTTGATACTACGTTATGTGAATTTCTTATGCTCGGAAAATCCTGACATTATTGTTTTGGGTTTCTTTTCTCTTAAATTTTATTTGCCGTTGGGTTTAAATTATTTCATCAGATTCAAATTTAATTCTTTTTTCTATTTGAACACCCTCATTGATTGCACTTTTTCTGCTACCGATTGTAAAAATTTTCATTTTTCTAGAACTTTTAATTGACTTTTAATACAACCCCGACATAGGTTCTGTTATCTTGATTACACGAATAATCTAAACTTTAAAAAATGTGTCAGTTTTTATGCATAAACTCATTCAAGTTGTCTTACAGATCGTTGGTGTTCCCGTCTTCGGACGTTATCTAAAGAATTTGATTGGAGTGAAATTTAAAAATTCGGTGTGTGCTAAGCCCTTAGTCTCCCAAATGTTCGGTTATATATAAATTAGGTCCACAGGACAGCACTTATTGACACCGACATATGATCTCCTCAATGCCTTTTAAAGTTTTATTTTCGACAGATATCTGTTTAACATCAAGTTGAACTTCTGCAACAAATAATTCGAGTTATTAGTTCTAACTTGTTGACGACATTCACTTGGCACCGGGAACAATTAATTCCCCAGAATTCTATTTTCATGGGAGTACTATCCCAGAAACATGCACTGCTACCAGTTAAGAGTTTTCATTCAATTAGTTGGTCATCTGTTAATTTCAAGCAAATGGTGATATGATACAAATTGTTTTCAATTTTTCGCCAATGCAGATAACTTGGCATATTTACGCTTGTGCTCTAAAGTCATAAAATTAGGCAAAAATTACTTGGAATCCTTTATGCCTTGTAACCATTCTCTTTTGCAACAAATTAATACGTATATGTAAAACGTGTTCAGCATATTTTCCTAGTTATATTTAAGTCCCTATGTTCGGCCTCCTATTTGATTTCGACCACGTATGATTTCGATCACATACAAAAATACTGGAGAACTCTATTATGCGTTTTCGCTGCAATCGATGGCCATCTCTAGACTACAATAGCAAATCTCCAAACAACTTGGGTGTTGGGGCGTCCTTTCTGCAGGTTTTTGATGTCCAGGACCAGTTGTTCATTGCGTTCCTTCCCATCTTCGAAGACGACCAACTGACTGCCAAGCGATTTATGGACGTCAGTCCTAATGTAGGTGTCATTTCCCTATGTTACGTCCTGTTTGCAGTTTCCAGAAACATTGCAAAAGACATTGCATTAGCATGTAATTTCTTTGTTCTCCTAGGAAGTCTGTACAAATGTCATTGTGCCGCCGATGAAAAAATTGTAGATATATAGCTTAAATGGGGGAATCATTACAAAGTTTTAGTGTTTTGGGTACGATTAAGCAATTTACGACCGGAACGAAGTCAATGCGACGGTTCCGACATTCGCCGCAACCAAGGAGCTCTTCGGGAACAAGGACGGTAGCTATTATATGAAAGTTAACATCAAATGTTTTATCTTAAAAACACTCATTTTCCCCTTCGAAGTGGAAGGTAAAAGTGACGAGTCCGTTAACTGCACTGAAGAAAACCAACTGAACATGTGTGACAATAGACTTATACAACCTTAAATAGCACAAACTTGGAGCCGTCAGAAGATAAATTAGATGAGGTCAATAATAATTACGCGAGGTCCTGTTTAATAAACGTCTCTGCTTTCGAAGTAAAGAGTACTGTTCTAATGTAAATAGGGGCATAAACTCAGGGGTCAGTTTCGGTAAGCCGTCCCAGCTATCACACAGAACGCTCAACTTACTGTTGAGGTAAACAGGGCCAGCAGAATGCCCGTCAACGCGAATATTCCCATGCTATCTGAAACAAAAATAACCACGAAAGTTCAAATATAAAAGTGGAAGGAGGTATACTTTAAGCACACTTTACATGACATGTTCGATGTGCACCAAAGCTATCGGCAATTTGTTATTAAAATAAAAATTTTGCACTTTGACGAGCGCCTTCTAAGAACGAAAAATTCTGTTACGATCTTTCAAGTAGTCCATTCTCAATCGAATTATTTATGGCCAACCTGTTGACCCATAGATAATGGACAGCGAATACTATGCTTGGGAGGCTTGTACTATTTTCGAGAGAAGAATTCTTCAAATGCAGGTGCAAATTTATCCTTTGTGAATCTGTAAAGATATGCAGGCATAAAATTTGCTGACCCACAAAGGCTTTACGAAGGAGAGGCGATCGTGTACATATAAATCCCTTCGCATTCAGATAGGAAAACAGCGGTTGACCTCAAATATCAAAAAAACAAACAAATGGCAAAGGACGTAGAGTAGGTGGGCTAACTCGTGAAACGTCAATCGAAATTCCAAAATGCGTTTTCTTTTCGAAATGATTAATTAAATAGGGTTGTAAAACTAATCATCATGCGGCATAGCTCTATAATGACTAAGTTACCCCAGGATGTCAGCTTTCGAAAGAATTTCCTGCCGGCTGCATGCAAAAACTACACTCTAAAAATGACTACATATGTAACATACATTTTTCTCACTGATTTTCAATGCCCTTAAAAATTTAATTACATTGCATGAGAAACATGCATAAAAATATTCATCCTTTTACTCATTTGGTAGGCCATTACGTTTTATTTCAATCTTATACCCAAAGGAAGAGCATAATTCGGTTTTAAAAGATTTTTCGATTCCCTAGTAATTCTGAACCTGACCTACCGTTACACTTGCATTCAGAGTTTCCAAACTACAAGCCGTATATTTTCCGCGTACGGAAAACCATGCATTTCTGTACAGTATTAAGAGAATACCGTATAGGGTTCATAAAATTTAGCAACGGATTAAGGTTATATTGTTAACTTTACAAGCCACATCGTTAAATACAGAGACATGGTTTTTTATAAACGGCCATTTCACGTTATTGAAAAAATCTAACAATTGGAAACTTTTTAATACCCAATTATAACCAATTTTTGAGTAAAAAATTTAAATAGGGCTTAGTTTTCAACCGAATGAGCGAACGAATGGACCTTTTCATGCATGTTTTCCATGAACTATAATTGAATTTTTAAGGGCATCGAAAATCAATGAGAAAAAGTCATGCTACTCAAGTAGTGGATTATTGCAGAGTACAGGTTGTGCATCCGGTCGGAAGGAAGTTCGTTCGAAAGCCGGTATCCTAAGGTAATTGAGTAATTGAAGAATTATGTTGTGTGATGATTAATCTTACAGTCCTGCTTAATTAATCTTTTCGGTACGAAAACGTACCTCGTTATTTCGGCTGACATTTTATGAGCTAGCCCACCTACTGTAATTTGATTTCTCAAGAAATAAATGATTATTCACCAGCAGTCCAACCGGTGACGTCTAAGGTAGTTTTAAAAAGCACGGACAAGCTGCCCAGCCATGTGCACGCATGTACCACAAACACCTAAATAATTTTAAAAGCTATCGTCTGTGAAAAATGGGCCATTGAGCTTTTTGGAAGCCGTATTTAAACTTATGGGAAACGTCGCATGAAACAATCGGGAATTTCGTTTTCAACAGCACCATCAGAGGTCTTACATCATGCGAGTCTTATAGAAATATAAAAGCCGAAATCACTTTTCTGAACACGGATGAAAGTACAACTGATGATAATGACCTTTTGAGAAGACCCTGGCAGTTACGTTCAGTCTCATTTGCCAAAAGCTCTATCTTGCACATTTTTGAGAACCCCATAAATCAAGTTTTTTTAACTAGCTCAAGAAAAACTTAGTGAAACATTTCTGATTCCTATAAAGCCTCATCAAAAGCATCTTGATGTCCAGTTACATATTCTTTGGATGCCTACTATTATCCTTAGGTCTCAATTCTAAGATATTTTCTCGGAGCACATTAAAGTCATTTGGCTTTGAATTTTAACAGAAATTATTTTCTGCTTGTTAGGGGAACACGAAAATTTTCGGCGCATCGATTTGCCGCTAATACATTTTCAAAGACCTCGACTCAGATTAACATATTTTTCATATTTAGTGCTTTCACTTGACTAACTATTGAGACGCATTGCCATATTTATTTTGCCTATATTTTGACATTTCTGTAAGCCTCACTTCAAATCCTTTGCGTTCCTTTTAAAGAAAAGGTTGGTTTCAAAGTGTGGGCTACAACCGTTACTGATTAGGTAGTCACGGCTGCTTGCCTCCAAATAAGACACGTTTAGTTCGAATCATAAACTAGTTATGTACGCTATTCGTAATTTGCAAATACTGATGAGAAAAACAAACAGTCGACAATAAGACTCAAACTGTTGCCAGCATCTGTTTTAATTAATTAACAGATTGAAATTTCAGCCAGATTCGTGCCGTTATACCTGCAAGTCTCCTTGCCATCTTGGCAGCCCTAGTTCTGAGGATTTCTGAGGTGTATTTATGGCCATTATCCTTTAGCACAGTGAAGTCAGTTGAGCTATTAATTTAGAGGTTAACAGAGATCGCCGGCACTACTCGCAATTTGTCCCACTATATCATTCACTTCAACATGGCTGATAACAAACAATGACCTATCAGGATGCAGAAAGTCAAGACATGCTCAGCGAATTTATCCAATCATTGAAAAACAAATATTTTCGGCGTCAGGAAAGATGTTTTATGATAATTTAACTAGATTAAGACATAATTAATGCCTCAAAATTACGTAAGCTCACAATGGACAAATATTCCGATCACAATTTTAACTTGGCCTCGATAAAAACACTTTCAGATTGAGCAGTTTGGTTTTGAGCTCAAATCCTACGTGCATGCATAAATATACTAAAACTTAGCAGTAAGCTCTGGATAGACAATAAATGTTTTTGATTCTGAAAGAATCTCAAGTGGGGTTGTAATATTGATTATCGTACAGTATAATCCTAGGATACTTCATGCGCGTCAGAATGCAGGATTTTGAATAAGCTTCTTTTTGACCGCCTGCAAAAACTTTACTCCGTAAGAGTGACTGCTTAAGTATTGTGGATTTTTACGCCGATTTTTGGTACCCTTATAGATTTAAATATGTTACAGCGTTACAGAGGAAATCCTTTCAAATTGAAAGCACATTTCAGAATTTCGCCTAGCACATAAGGAAATAGCGTATGCCCTTTATTCAAATAAGACCATGCGTCTTTATACATGCTTCCAATTAGGAAAGATTACCAAAATTTCATAGAACTGCTTGGTAGTCTAGAGTATGACTCCTCTCAGATTCAGCAGAGCTAGTAACGCTCGGGCATAATGGACGTTTTTCGTTTTATTTTCCGTCTTAGAATAAACTATACAGAGGAAATTTAATTCATGCACTATATCAACACCCAGGTGTTAGTTATATTTTGTCCTAAAAAGCTTATTCCAGTCTTAGTAAGGCTTGTATCATGTGTTGTTGGACCCTTGTGGGGTTATTTGCGTTAGCCGATATCTATGCATCTATTAATGCTGTTGTAAGGTACAAACCTGTCAAGCAGTGAGTAAAAAGGGTCTTCCTCAGAGGAACATAAAGCAACGTACGAGTCCTCGAGTGTTTAGTTTGAAAACGAAAGCACGGTCGTACTTACAATGATGTGGAAAGTAATGAGCGTATTTATCATAAAGCAATACCTTACTGCAGGCGTAACAGTTATGGCATAGGTAATTTTGTGCAAAAACTATGAGGAATGACACAAATTTTCAGTCTCAAAAATAGGATTTAATCTTTGCAAATGATCAACATTAACGCAAACAATAAGCAACGTTTAGGTATTGATTTACCCCAATAGTGTGGTTCCTGTAGATGAACAGAAATTAAGTACTCACTTCGATTCAGAAACGTTTTGAGCCATTTCATCTAGTTAAGTCCTTCATCGCCAACGGGCACATAAACTTATTCTCATAAACTCTCATATTTTTTAACGTCAGGTATTCTATCCGTTTAGACTCTGAGCAAAAGTGCGAAGTAGCTCTCAGTGAATACCCTTGCATGTAGATTTGAAACCTTATGAAAACCTCAAGTCCAGGTCACATCTCAGGTTACTTATGAACTACTGACTTCTTTTATACAAGGGTACTCCACTTCTTGCTAATCAGATATCTGAATGGGCATTGTTCCCTAACAAGCCAGCATAAAAGTGGAGTTGTTACGGGTTTCTTTAAGGATATAACTAAGTCCACAAGAGCTTGGGAAATGAACTAAAAAAACTCAGTCATTATATAGTGACAGCTATTGAATTAGATAGCTAGGGCTGTTCTTCGACATAATCAATATTCCCGTCGTGTATTTATAGCTAGAAATAACGGTCCATGTTAATCGCTACCGTTAAATTACCTGTACGTTTCTTTGAAAGCAAAAGTAAATTCCAAGATACTAATTTTCAGCCCTGTGACTTTCAGCATCTTCTCTGACGTTTACTTACTCGTAAGGTGATTGACTGATGAGCTTCTGGATAGCGGGCCACAGGAAGACGGTAGATTTAAGGAACTGAGAAATGATTAAGTGCACTGAAGGCTGATACTGAGAAGGAAAGCAAGCTGTTGTTCGCACGCTCCCTTAAATATCCTCAAGGTGACCTACCCGAGATAACCAGTGTTAGCGCACTTAAAGGCCGCCTAACAGGAACCCGTCTGCTAGGTTCCACCACGTAGCACTTGTGGTCCGACTTCACGGCAGTGGCAAATAGGAGTGAGATAAACAATCGGGTGACTTGGGGCAGGAGAGTGTGTCTACCCCCGTGTTTTCCGTAGTCAGGCAATCCATAAGTCCGCACATAAGGACTGGCGCACTGGTGGTTTCGAGCACTTCCACTTAGGAGAGTTAGAAAGAGAGAAAAAGCTCAGAAAAACCTAACCGGCACATCAGATTTGGGGCTTTCAGTGAGAAAGTCGCTTATCCTGCCGACTCTTTGGAATCAGTGACCCTTCTAGCAAGGCTATTCTAAGGCAAGTACGATTACCCTTGCTTAGCTGAAACTACCCTTCCTTGCTTTTTATCATGTAGTCTAAAAAAGTAATGCTGAACGTGCTTGAGGGAAATCTCATGAAAAAAATCTCGAATGATCAGATTGTTTCTGACCCTCTGGATCTCCTTACTTCAGTGCGCTGTTTGCAAAACACGAAAAGCTAAATGCACACAGGCAACATATGTCTGGCGTCTTTAAAAAACGTTTTTTGATTCTACGTTAAGACAGGTATGTGGCACGTGAAATTAAGAAATGAAAGAATTAAGAAACTCGCGAATGTTCATTAAAAGGTACATTAGCGGAATGCGTAGAATTCAAAAGTAAGGTTATAGAAATTTAATTTATGTGAACGAACTAAAGAATAGGGCCGTTCTTGTTACACTAGCGAAAATCGAAAGAAGTGGCGGGGCGACTTTCAGAAACAAATGCAAAGAAGGGCCGATGATGAAATATTGAATTCTGCTCCCCCAAGACGTCGTGAAACGTAAAATGACTGCGTAAAGTAAGTAAAATTTCAAACATGCCGAAAACAAATATTGCTCTGTTATTCTTGCCCATGAGCCATTACTGTAGGCTGTCATATTTGTTCGATTGGCTGTAATATTTTACATTCTTCTCTGAGCCCAATGCGCACGATGTTTTATTCGATGTGCTTATCAGTGTAAGACTCGTCGAATGGTATGGCCTCCATTAATTTTGGTTTTGTGAGATGGGCAGATAACACAGATGCGAGTTCTGTCCCATGCAACTGTGTCCAGTCTCCAGCGTATATGCGTCGAGTTGGTACAATCGATTTCGCTTTTTTTCTACCAGCTGGTGCTCTTGTATGCATACGGAGGTCGACTTTACAGTTTGACGATGGAAAATGCATTGCAGGCATCACATGGAAAATGGTAAATGACTTCCTTCATATCTAAATTACCAACACTGTTTTTGATGGTGTATGGCCGGCTGGACAGTATAGTCGTTAGTCCGTTGTCCACTTGTATTTAACTGCTGCTCAGGTGTCTTTCAACAGGTTGGAACACAATCTTGATGTAGGGAAGGGTTTGCCATATTTTGGTTTTGTAACTTGTTTGGCACAAACTAGGTCCTTGTCTTCTCCTTTGACTACTATCACCTCGTACAGAATCTCTGACGTATCCATTCTGGGAAAGCAGCTTCAACAGATAATTAAGTTATATTCGACAGAGTTCATCGTCAGAACAGTGTGTGGTTGCTGGATTAGGTAGACCGTTAACAGTACCCTGTTTCTGGATAGTAGATTAGGTGGACTAACTCATGAAATGTCAACTTAAATTCGCAAATGCGTTTTAGTTTCGAAAGGATTAATTAAATAGTTTAGCAAAACCAATTATCATGCAGCTTAATTCTACACTAATTCAGCTACCTCGGGATGACGGCTCTCGAACGGCTGCATGCCAAAACTATACTCTGTAAAAAATAACCACTTATGTAGCATGCTTTTGTCTCATCGATTTTCGATACCTTTAAAAATTCAACTATATTTCATGAAAAACATACAAAAAATATTCATTCCTTCAATCAGTCGATAGTAAATGACGTCCTCTTGCAATTTTATGCTCGGAGAGAGGGTATAATTGGGTTTTAAAAAACCTTTCCAGTACCCTTATAATTATGAGTCCGACCTGCCGTTACACTTGCATCCAGGGTTTGCAAACTACATGCCATATATTTTCCGCGTACAGAAAACCATACATTTCTCTACGGTATTAAGACGAGGTTATATGGGATTCATAAAATTGAACAGCGAATTTGAGCCGTATTGCAGAGACACGACGTTTTATGAACGGCCAATTCACCGTATTGAAAATCTCACAGTTAGACACTCTTTGAAAACCGAATTATGCCTCTCCTTCGACTATAGAATTGGAAGAAGACGTTATTTCTTACCAAATGAGCAAGAAAATGAATATTTTTTTGCATGTTTTCCGTGAAATATAATTGAATTTTTGAGCGCACCAAAACTCTATAAGAAAAATGTATGCAACTCAAGTAGTCGTTTTTACAGATTATAGTTTTCGCATGCAGCCGGAAAAAAATTCACTCGAGAGCCGGCATCCTGAGGTAACTGAATTATTATAGAATTATGCTTCATGCTGATTGGTTTTACAACGCCATTCAGACAAGTTCTGAGTCGCCCCCTTTCTCGTTTGTGCGCAAAAGTCGGGTCCACAATCCCGGACGGGGGATGCGTGGCGCGCGTAGAAAGGCTGTCTGATTTTGTCATCTATTGTGACTTTTCACGCAACTGGCCCATCTGCCTCTGTCTTGACACCGGACCCGGGTGAATGAGAGAGGAGAGAGTGCGGTAGGTGATGCGTAAGTATACTAGTACTATGAGCCATGTCACGCAGAAGTCACCGTCCCTGCATCCCGCATGCTACAAGGCATACTGTGGACATCACTATTGGCGATGGTCAACTGTCAATTGCCCACGCAGTGTAGGATGATGTGCAAAACCTCCCGCCAGTCTTTCGCTGCGCGATAACATCAGGGAACAGGGAGTTGTTTTCAACATCAACCGTAAAGCTACATTTAACGCTTCGAGGAAACCGAGCATTTTAGCGGGGAGGACAAGAATATCGTTAGTTTCAACCAGCTACTAAGGAATTAGTCTGCCTAACACAACTTTTTTTAATAAAGCTGGCTCCGGGTTTTTGCGTCAAACTGTAAAGTCCGAAACCACTCAAAATGCATCGTTTCCTCGTAATCCAGTGAATTTCCGTCCACGCATACGTCATGTTAGTCCTCTTTAATTCTACTCTAAAGTTCTTCCTCTGAGTTTCCCGGCATTTCCTTTCAATAAAGACACGGTCAGATTTTTTGTTGCAGAGACGAAAAGCTCAAATAACATCCAATGTTAGTGGTCTATCGGATTCTGCACGATTCTGCTAGGTCCGAAGTCTACCTGCCTCTTACAAATAGTTTCTTTTCCTACTTCTTTCCCTCTTCATAATGAGTTAATGGCTGCAAACTCCTTACGCCCCATGCGTTGATGCTTCCGCCACATGCTTTGTCGCACTTCGGCTTATCAGAATTCCATACTGCCCTTTCTAGCTCGGTATCTCACCTGCAAAGATGCTGAAAAACAAAAGCTAAAACTCGATCTTGCACCTTAAAGTCCTTTTTTCTTCATATATAATTATGTCAGACTGTCCAATACCTGTTAATCTCTATGGTAATCACTGTGTACTGGAGAACCGTTTTTGCTGAAAGTTTTGAATGTTATTTTAAAAATAAAGCATTCCTCTCTCTCCGAGCTGAGCGCGATCCGCCCAATTTTCTTTATATGTACACGGTGAAGGAAGATGTCTGGATCCTAAGCAGAACAGCTGCTCGAATTGAAAATAGGCTAAGGTTAGAAGTCGACCACAAGAAAATGTCAAATAATTTATACAGCTGCCAGGATTAACAGCAGCATCCCATAAGTGTGCAATAGGACACTTCCCAGGGTAGACGGTTCATGCCAGATTTCGGACTATATCAGTTCTTCATCTCCCGAAATTATCGAATGAGTCTACCAATTACATAACTCAAAGGCACTTCAAATCACGATTTGGTAAAGTTGTAGCCTCGGCGTCCTAAACGCCTGACTGTTCCTTCAGACACTCAGTCATTCCGTCAACGCAATCGTCGAAGAAGAAGAAAAAAGAGTCACCCGTTTTCCAACCGAGGTCTGGTATCTGTTGATGTCCCGTCTATTCCACAGGCTTTGACAGTCGGACGCATTGAGTTGCTCCTGGTAAACAAATTGGCCGAAATGGAGAACCGCCTGGTCGCAACCAAATCAACGAATGCCTACGATTTTACCTCAAAATGCACCCCACTATAGATGGCATAATTTAAAAGTTAGAAGAGACACGCTGGT